AAACCTCTATTTAATGTACCCCGCTATAAGCGACTTGTCCACTATATAGAGGTTTGTTTAAATAGTGGGAATTTTAATTTAGAAAATTTTTTGACTAAAAAGAGTGAAAAAAATTATTTTTAGAGTCAAAAGACATGCAACTCGAATGGTTTTTGTAGTTATTTTAACTTTTGGATTCTGTTGGTTACCTCAAAATTTTCGTTTTTTCCTTCAAGGATTAAATTATCCACAAGCTAGTTTTTGGGAGCATAATGAAAAAATGTTTGTTTTTAAATAGAAATTAAATTAATTAAAAATTTTTTTTAGACTTTTACTTGTCCAGTCAGTTGTGCAAACAATGGCTTATGCAAATAGTTGTGTTAATCCTATACTTTATGGTGTGTTTTGTTTCCGGAAATTGTTTCCGGAAAATAATAAAATAAATAAAAATCAGAATTATAAATAAATAAACTTGGGGAAAATAAAAGAAAATACAAAAATAGAAAATGGATAAAGCTTAAAGACAAAAATACAGAAAAACACGAAATATAAAAAAAACATATGAAAACACAAAAACAAAAATAAAAAAAAATTTTTTAAAGAAACACAAAATAAAAAATAATAGAACAAAAATACAAACACAACAAAAATAAAGAAAAACACAAAGAAAACACAATATACAAAAAAACACAAAAATACATACAAGGATAAAAATAGATGGAAATACAAAATAAAAATAGGGAAAATACAAATTATGAAGAAACACAAAATAAAATACAAAAAAAACACAAAAAATACAAGAATACAAGAAAACAAAAATATAAGTATTAAAATAACAAACTTAAAACATTAAAAAACACAAAAATAAAATACAAAAAAAACACAAAAAATACAAGAAAACAAAAATATAAGTATTAAAATAACAAACTTAAAACATTAAAAAACACAAAAACACAAAAATAAAACACAAAATAAAATACAAAAATACAAGCATTAAACTACCTAAAACACAAACTTAAAAACATTAAAAACATTTAAAAATACACAAATAACACATAAAGAAAACACATAATTTAAGGTCTTCTATCAGAACGTTTCCGAATAGCCTTTCGTCGAACAATTTCACGCTTTTTAATTTGTTTGTGCCCAACACTAATAAATCCAAGTTTAACCCCTTCCCCAGCATCTTTTGCTAATAATTATTCTCTTCAACTACATAGAAATTCATTGCATCCCTCAAATAATTCAATTAAAAGACCTTCCTCTACCGTTAATTTTGGGGGGACAACAACAACAAATTTGTTAACTGAATATAGCAATAATAGAGACAATGGGTGGATTAATAATAAAATTAATGGATTAAATAATAGGTAAATTAAAATAAAAATTAATTTTGCAAAATATGTAGTATTTTATTTTTGGAAAAATTTTTTTGAATTTTTTTTTTGAAAAAAAAATTTTTGAAAAATTTTTCGGAAAAAAAATTTTTTTTTGAAATTTTCTTAGAAATTTTCAAAAAAATTTTTGAAAATTCTCAAAACTCGATTCCTTCAATGTTAAAATTTTTCGTATTTTAGAAAATTTTTTAATAACATTTGAGAATTGATAGTATGGTCATAGGGTGAAGGGAACATTAAATCCTGGAGCGAAGGGAACATCAGTTCTTATGGGGTGAAAGGAACACAATAATTTCTTTTTTCCGACTTTCTGTAGATTTTTAAGAGGAATTAGTTAATTATCCTTTTAAAAATATTTGGGGTATTTTGAATTTCTGACAAAATGAAATATTTATACAAAATCAAAATTAATTTTAAAATTTTCAGTACTCCTTCAATCTACAGTCAAAATTCATTAGATGAACATCGAAAAAATTCTCAACAATCATTACAGTTACTAGCTACTTTAAATGGAAATAAATTGATGACTTTGGGTGAAGAAAAAATAGACAGTAGTAATATTAATGAAGATATTGAAGATTATAATGATGAGGATGTTGTTCTTTTGTAGGAAGAAAAAATTTTTTTAGAAATTATATCAAGTAAAGTCAATTCCCATTAGAAGTGTCCTCGAATATCAAGAGATATCCTCAGATGATCCTCGGATATCCTGTGAGCTGAGCGAACATTATATCGTAAAGTGAAAGGACTTTGATTATAGTGTGAAGGGGACATTAGGGGCGTTTTGTGATTCCGGCTCCGACTTTTTTTTCAAATTTTTGTTTCAGGATCTGGTTCTGGGCTCATAGAGTGAAGGGAACATCAGCTCATAGAGTGAAGGGAACATTACATAGATTATAGGGTCAAGGGAACATTAGATTATAGGGTCAAGGGAACATTAGCTCATAGGGTGAAGGGAACATCAGCTCATAGAGTGAAGGGAACATTAGCTTATAGGGTCAAGGGAACATTAGCTTATAGGGTCAAGGGAACATTAGCTCATAGGGTGAAGAGAACATCAGCTCATAGAGCGAAGGGAACATTAGCTTATAGGGTAAAGAGAACATCAGCTCATAGAGCGAAGGGAACATTAGCTTATAGGGTAAAGAGAACATCAGCTCATAGAGCGAAGGGAACATTAGCTTATAGGGTAAAGAGAACATCAGCTCATAGAGTGAAGGGAACATTAGATTATAGGGTCAAGGGAACATTAGGTGTCGTGAGCAAGAGTTGACTTTACTTGGTTATCTAATATTCTTGGACATAATGTATTATATTATTATTTATATTTCAATTCTACCTGATCTCAAAAATTAAATACTTAAATATTTAATGCGGGATATGTATATATTTGTATAGTAAATATTATTTTTTGTTTAATATTTTTTATTAACATAAATAATAAATTATATATATTTAAATTAAAAAATTAAAAACAAAAAAATAATTAAAATTAAAGGCAAATAATTATTCAAAAATATTTTCATTTTTGATGCTTTGTTTGGATTATCAAATTCTTGTTTATTTATTTCCTCATTAGTTAGTTTATTTAATGCTTCACTACCTTTTTGAATAAATTGTTCATTTTGTTGAAGTGAAGACTAAAAAAATTTTTTTCTGTTGGGATTTTTATTAGGGGGTGGGGGGGGGGGGGAGTGGGGATTTTCTTAGAATTTTGAAAAAAAAATTTCCTTAAATTATAATTTTTCTTTCAACTTATATACACTATAAAGGCCTGGGTCTGGACCAAGGCCTGGATTTTTCCTGTACCCAGAATCCAGGCCCAGGCATTTTTTGACATTCCTGAGGTTTTCCTGGACTACAGGCCCAGGTCAATAAATCTAACCCGGAACCTAGGAACAGGCCCAGGCTCTTCAAAATCCCTATCTCTATATACACTTACATTCATCATTTGTTCAATTCTCTCAACTCTTCTTTGTCCAGCTTTAGCCAATTCCAATGCTTGGGCTATCAATGCGGTTGTATCAGTTTCATCACCAGTAGCTGATTAAATTTTAATTTAAAAAATTTTTAGAAGAACAACAAAAAATAATTCTGATAAGAGGCCGGACCGAGAAGGATCTAGAACCAAAACTCTCGGTTTTGAAATCGAGATTTTTTGGGATATCGATATTTCGATTCTTGCTTGACCTTTCCAGTTCAGTCTTTAATTCTGATATTCTTTAACTGAAAAAAAATTACTTTTTTTTGGATGGAAGGGAGGGGAGGGTGTCGGAAATTTCCAAGTTCCGATTTCCGACACCTGACGAAGGTGTCGGAACTTGGAAAACTGAATTCCGATCGACCTCTGTTAGAGACCCTTAAAAATAAGAAAATTTTTTTAATTTTCCCAAAAATAAATTAATTAATAAAATAAAATAATACCTGGAACAATAAAATAAAATAATACAAAAGGAGAAAAATAAATTAAAATAAAAAATAATTTTAAATTGAATTTTATATTTAAATAATTCATTTTTAGTATAAAAATATTAAGAAGAAATATATTTTTTTAATTATAAAAATAAAATTGGAAAAAAAAATATTGAGAGAGAAAAAGCTAAAAATAGCAGGGAAATTACGAAAATATTTTAATAAAAAAATAATAATATATTTACTCTATGAAAAGTGGTTGGTGAGAGAAAATTGGTAGTTTTGAGAGGTAGAAATTGAAGAAAAAAATTTTTATTAATTTAATTTTTATTTTGAAAATGTAAAAGTATTTGTCTAATTGTGTTGGAGTAAATTACAAGATTGAGGGTAAACATGGGGGATATAAAGCGTCTTAATAAGAAAAGTTTTTCTTTCTAATCGTAATTCTCTTAAAATTTAACAAAAAAAATTATGAAGGCAGATTCTCAAGGCTACTAATTTTTTTTTCTGGACCACCAACACTTCGTGGGATGGAAATTGAAGAAGCTTCCCTAAGCTTCCTTGGAGAGTTGGTCATCTGAATGCCAAGGAAACCCATCCAAAAAAAAAATTTTTTCTGTTCATAGATGGATTGTATATTAAAAATTTGGAGAAATAATGAACCATCCTTCGAGAGTTGTAGAAAGGATTGAAAAGGATCGTGGAAGGGAAGTAATTTTGATCACAATCCTCAGGAGAATCCGATAATAATAATAATATTTATTTGACAAAATGGACCCAATAAGGACTCACATTCTTTCTACAAAATAAAGCAATCCGAAATAAAATCCTCCTTCCAATATGGGAAATACAAAAAATAGGTAGAACAACCTTCTTTTCCATAGGAGGGATTAAACATCTGTCCAGTCTTAGCTATTAAACTGGACAGATATTGAGAGAGATAGGGAAATTAAAAAAAAATTTTTTTTGAGAAAGAATATTTTTTAAGTAAAAAAGCAGAAAAAATATATCCTTCCAAGTGTATTTATGTAATTGTAAAAATGAGTGATATAGTAGTGGATATATAAAAATAAAAATGAAAAAAAGCTCTGTTATTTATTTGCACAAATTGCATTACCTAGTCTATAAATAAAAAAAAATTTTTTTTTGAGTTAAATCCCTTGAGAGACAGAAAAATGAGGAGAAGAAAAAACAAATGATGGAATGCTTATTTTTATTTTTTTTGGTAATTGAAAAAAATTTTAAAAATAAATTTTGAGTTAAATTGAGAGAATAAAGGGGTAGAAGGAGGTATGAACAAAATTGAAAAGTTAAAAGACCGATCACTAATAGAAAGGAAGGGCTCCGCACCATACATACATGCACAAACAGTGTTGGAATCATACCCAGAAAACACAATGGAATTAAAGAATGGCCTGGATCTAGAGCTCGATTTTTCCTGGATCCATAGTCAAGATCAAGGCATTTTTCAGTGTTTCTTGATTTTTCTTTAAAGGTCAATAACATGGTCAAAGTCCTTAAACAAAATCAAGATTAAGGTTTATTTAAAGTTCCAATTTCTAAAATGAATAATGGGAGAGGAAAGAGGTTGGACTACCTAGTAAGAGATTCAGAGATTCATGAAGTCCCCATCCTAACAATAATTTCATTATTAAATTATCTTCTTCTATTTTATTAAAAATACATGATAATTAAAAGAAAATCATTATTTACTAAATATAAATAATAAAAACACACACCCAAAATCCTTCTACATTCAAATATCATAATTTTCTTCCTCATCATCCTCTTCATTTTCATTCTTTTTCCCCCCAAACAATATTTGTGCAGCTCTTTCAGTTGTTAATTCTGGTATTAATTGTTGCTGTTGTTGTTGCGATTGTTCTGATGTTGTTGGAATATTAGAACATTCAGGAACAATTAATTGTTGAGGTGTTAAACCCTTTTAAATAAAAAATAAAGTTTTGCTTCAAGTTTTTTTAATTCAAGTTTTTCAAATTCAAGCTTAATAACTTTTATTCTGTTTTCAAGTTCAAGCTTCAAGTTTAACAGCCAACCTTTTTGTTTCAAGTTTATTTTTTAATCCAAGTTTTCAAGTTCAAGTTTAACTTTTACTTGAGGAATATATTTTTAAGTTTGCTTCAAGTTTATTATTTTAAAACAAACCTGAAGCAAAACTTATATACTAGTGTATTAAGAAACTAGCCTCTCGTCGCCTAAAATTTTCAGAAAATTTTTTGGAATTTTTTTTTCAGGGAATTTTTAAAAATAATTTTAGAAGCTTCCCAATAATTCCAAAAAAAAAGTAAAATCTTTTAAAAATTAATTAAAAAAAATAAAATTTTTACAAAAGGCATAGGCATAGTTGAAGGAATAAACGTTTGCTGTTGTTCTACTTGTGTTGTTGATGCTGTTGTTGTTTGTGGTATTTGTGGGATAGCAAATGTTTGTTGCTGTGTTTGCTGTTGTTGAGAAGGTAATAATGGAGTTAAAAAAGTTGGAGAAGATTGTAATTGTTGTTCTGGTTGTTGGATAGGATTAAATGGTGGCATAGCCATTTGATTTTGAAATGAAGCAAAATGGTCAAAACCTCCAAATTGAGAAAATGCTGCATGCTGCTTTTCTGCTTCTTCACGACGAGCCTGAAAAAAATTTTTTTTACAAAAAATTTTTTAGAAAATTTTTTTTTAATTTTTAGAAGCTTTTTTAGAAGTAAAAATGAAAAAAATTTTTTAAAAAATTACAAAAATTTTTCCCAAAACTAAGTCCCAAAAATTAAGTAACGAAATAAAAAAAAATATTTCTTTTTTCAAGAAAATCAACAATAACAGGAAAAAGTCTATTAAAAAAAGTCTACTATCAAATTAAATTATAAAACAATAACAATTCTTTAAAATAATTTAATTTAATAAATTAACTCAATTTTATTTTTTATTTTAATAGTTTAGCAAGAAAAAAGCCCATATATTCTGTTTATAACATAAAAAACTTAATTAGCTATAAACGACTTGACAAATAAAAAAAAATACTTTTTTCTTCTTATATTTACATATTTATTTTTTATTTATTCTACTAAAAGTCAATTTTTCTAGAAATTTTTTTTATTGCGCGAGACATTTTTTAAATAAAAAAATAGGTTCAAAAAAATTTTCTGAACCTATTATTGGTTAATTTAAATTTAATAGGGAAATAGTAAATTTAGGTTTCATAAAACTTGTAAATATTAAAATAAAAGTTACTTATTTAAGAATGACACTCCCTTTATATGGTACCAAAATTTCCCAAAATATTCGAGACATTTTTAAATTAAAAAAAGTATTATGAAGACATTCTGTTCTATTTTTGAAAGAATCAAACAAACTTGCCCCCCCTTTTTTTTAATTTTATATAATTTATCTAACAAAAATATTTTTTAAATCCAATTTTAAATTAAAATTCTTTTCCACTTTATCCTTCAATTTTTCTAAAATTAATTAATGCTTCAATTATTTATTTAAAAAAACTTTTTAAAAAATAAAAGGTCTTATTTTATTGTTGAATAATTAAATAAATTAACACAATAGGTACCTATATTTATTATTTACCCTATCATATTAACCCCTACTTAATTTATAATTCAAAACTCAGAATTTATAAGGGTGAGAAAAAAATATGATAAAAAAAAGAAAAATAATTGTTGAAAAGTAAAATAAATATTCAAAAAAAATTTTCTTTCGTGGAAAAAATTTTTTCCACGAAATAAATTTTTTACTCTGAATATTTAAAATATTTCAAAGTGCAAAAAAATTTTTTTTCGGTATTATTAAAAAAATTTACCCACGCTTAAAAAATTATTATTATTCTTTTTTCGTTTGTCCTTTAAATTTACTTTTATTTTATTAAGCTAATAATTTGTTTAAAAACAAAAGAGCGATTTCTAAGGAAAAACAAAAATGACGAAGAAAAAAAATCTTTTAGAAAATCTCTCACCCTTAAAAAAAATTTTTTTCAGCACACAAAACAAAATTTAAAAAAGAAAATGACGAGGAATAAAAAAAAAATAAAAACATCTTCCTTCCCCCCCCCCCTTCTCCCGTTCAAGAAAAATTTTTGTTTTAAATATTCATGTTGTGTGGGAAAATAAAAGAGAGAAGAAGCTAAACTTTAAAATAAACATAGCTAAACTTTACTACTACTATTGACACACACACATTTATTTAGCTATTTAGTAATTCTGTTAAAAAATAAGCAAAACAAAATAAAAGAACTTTTCAACTTGAAAGAATAAACACATTATTATATAAATGATATAATGAGGAAATGAATTTTGAAAAAAAAATTGTGGGGAAAAAACAATAAACAAAAAACATCCCAAGTTGTTAGAAAGGATTAGAGGCATTATTAAGGAAAAATGAATGAGATTATTAATTTAGCCAGCAAATTAAAATTAAGTAAAGTTAACTCAAAATTAATCTCTAAGGTTTTCAAAATTTCCAGAAAATTTCTCACCCTTAATAAAAATTTTTTAAGAAAAAGTTACCTCTCAAAATCAATCTAAGGTTTTCAAAATTCTTAGAAAATCTCTCTCTTAAAAAATTTTTTTGGCATTTATATAAATCTTTACTATCATCAAGTGTCTAAACAAACTTTAAAAAAATTAATTTTAAAATCGAAGATATGTAAAATCGGATTTGACTACATGAAGAATTTTTCATCAGATTTGGGATTAAAATATAGATATACCGTATAACTTGTATTAATTGCCCTCCCTCAAATAAAAATAGATTCGTATAACTTGTATTAATTGCCCTCACTCAAATAATTACCCCACTTGCATTAATTACCCCATCCAGCGATAGATTGGAACAATAATTACTCCCCACCAAATGCCCTAAAACACGTTCAAATTTCAAACCTCGTATAATTACCCTCCCTCAATTAATTACTCTCTCGAGCGGAAGGTCGAAGCAATAATTACCCAGGGTAGTTATTAAAGGATATACGGTATGGCTCTTCGACCTCCTCTTGATTAACCTTTTTTTATTGTTACCTATTAAGTTAAATATAAAATTTTTCAAAAAATGTTTCTGTGTTTTAATGTTTGATCCCTCAAATTAGTCAATTAAATAATTAAAAATCAAATATTCTAACTTCTTTTATTTTTTGCATTTTTAACCTAAACTGCCAGCTTTTCTTCGTATATCCTTCCCCTCAAGCTTTTTCCCACATCCCAAAGATATGGTTCAGGGATTTTGTTTTTTTTATTTGTACACATCCCCCCCCCTCTCACTTTTTTTCTGACTTTAAATATTCCTATTTTTGTTTCTCACCACGTTTTTTCATTCTTTGAAAATAAACGGTGGGGATATTTATAAAAAGAAGTTTGGTAAACAAAAAAAAACTAAGGTCTATGAGCCTAATTTTAAACAAAAACTGTGCCATTTTTTACTAGAAAATTTTTGGAAGATTGCCGAAAATGTGACTTAAAAATATTTTCTATTTTTTAAAGTTTTATGCATAATATCTTCTTATTATTGGTATATTTTTTAAACAAAAACTGAGAATATAGTAACACAAATGTGGCACGATTTTCACAATCTCCCCCCCCTTACAACATCCAACTACAATCAAAATAAATTTTTACAGTCACATTATTTCCGTACAAGCTCAGAAGACTGGATTGGGAGAGACGCCCTCCCCCATACCCTTCCCCATCCCTCTCCATCCTCCGACCATCCCATATCACTCCAATCTCAATCTCTCGTACAAGAATCGTACAAAATATCTCAAAAAACACTCGAAGCTCGATAAACAGATTTTTGTTCGTGGTCTCATTTCTCACTCCAATCTCAATTAATCCTTAGAAAAGTAAAAGGAGAGCCGCCTCACTTTAAAGCGTGATTCCCCCCCCCCCCTCCAAAAAACAAGTCTTATTACTTAATTAATGCCATCATTTTTAAACTAAAACCCTTTCCTTTCAACAATCTTTTTACAAAACTTTTAGCTTCTTTTTATATTTTAGTTCCTTTCCTAATTTAAGCATTAAACTTGGTTTGTCCTCTTCTACCAAAAATTTTGTGTTTTTTTTATTTGGAGAAAAAAAGGAAGAAGAAGAAAAAAGGCGGAAAAAGTCCCGGAAAAGTGGCAAAAGCAGAAAAATCCGGGGACATTTCTGTTGTGAAAAATTGAATGACAAAGGAATATCTTCTTCTAAAGTCATTCCCCCTTTTACAAATTTTTTAAAGTTTAACATGAAAAAATTTTAGTAAAATAATTTTGAGGATAAATATATAGAAATGTTTTAAGCTTATACAAAATTAGATATGATATAAAGTGTTTATATTTTAAGTAAAATGTAGTAACTGAGAAAGACCCAAGAATAAATTTTTTTTCTCAACAAGAATTGCGTGGAAAAATACGCTAATTTGTAAGGTATAAAAATATAGGCTAGAAAATTTTTAAGGAAAAAATTTTCTTTTGAAAAAATTATTTATTTTAGCAACCTTCCCAGATACAGAAATAGGCTAAAAAATTTTAAGAAAAAAATTTTTTGCGAAAAAATTAATTTAGCAACCTTCCCCTTTCTTAATAAAAAATTAATTTAAAACATTGCCATATTAAAAAAATACTCCCTTTGTAGAAAATTTTTTTCCTAAAATAAAAAAAATCTTTTACAATTATCTAATTTAAAAAAATTTTCAGAACAAAAAAAATCACAGAAAAAATGCCATCAAAATATACTAGACATCAACACAGAAATTCAATTGACACCAACAACAATAACAATAATTTTTTCTCTTCACTAATAGAAAATTATGAGGACACAAATGATATATTAGGGACTAATGGAATGGTTATTTATGATCCTCATTCTAACAATCATAATTCACAATATTTATTAGGTTAGTTAGTTTTGGTTTGATTTTTAAATTTATTTTTAAAGAAAAAAATCTGTGAAAAATTGAAAACAAATTTTGAAAAATTAAAAAAAAGCTACATATATAAGTGGAAAAAGGACAAAATCAGAAAATTCAGAAAAACCGAAAATCAGAAAGCCAAAAATTCAAAAAAAATTTTCCTTAAAAGTTAAGGTCACTCTAGTCGACAAAATCCAAAAATAGCCAGAAACCCAAAAAAATCCAGGAAAAATTTTTTTTGAAAAGTTAAGGTCAACAGCCACACTTTCAAAAGGATAAAATCCAAAAAAATGTCAGAAACCCAAAAAAACTCTAAAAAAAATTTTTTTCTTGAAACGTAAAGGTCAACAATCAACACACTTCAAACCTCACTTTCCAAACCTTTAGTTAATTTGTTGCAAAAAATAAACTTTTTAAAATTACTTATTTTTATTTGACCCTAAAAGTTTTTCTTTCACCTTTTACCTTTTTCTCTTCTTTTATTCAATTTATTCTCCCAAATAGCAAAAATAAAAATTTACATTAATGGAGGGCCCCAAGACAGACAAAAAAAATTTTTTTCTACAATGAGGCTACACAAAAAAACAAAAAAAACACAGCAAAAAAGACAAACAAGTAAAACTACCAATAAATTTATTCATTGTGTCACCTTCCATAAAAATTTTTCTTTAAAAAATTTTCCCACTGGTACTAAGCCCATCTTTTCTCTTTTTTTATTCAACTAAATTGTCCTTTTACCTCGCTAATTATCAAAACAAAAAAATAATTTTGGATAAATAAATTTAAAATAATTTTTTTCTGATTGAGATACAAGGCTCGAAAAAAACCGCTAAAAAGGCTCAAGAAATTTCAAAAAATTAACACACCCTACCCACCACGCCTCAAACAGAAGAACAGGTACAAAACAGACTAGGACATGGATGCGGATATATAATTTTTTGTCAGAGATATTGTAAAAATGCCTGCGGATATCCGTCTGTATCCGCCGTAAATATCCGGATACCAAAATCTGTGTCCGTGTCCTAGTCTGGTTCAAAACATGTTGCGCACGCAGCCGACTTGCTTAAACAGCCGCCTTGCCTTTATAAACAATTACTTTTGAAGTTTAGCTATTTTTTAGAAAAAAACTATTTTTGTTTCTTTAAAAACCTTATAACCAAGACTTAAAAAATCTAGAAAAATCTCAGAAACCCCAACCCGCAAAAACTGCTTCAAGCTTCATAAAACGCATTGCGTGCAGCCTCCCTTAGCTTCTATAAACACACTTAACCTAAACAATTTCAGCTATTTTTCTCTTTAAAAAGACCTCCAATTTTTTCTTCCAAATTCCTAGAAAATCCTTATATTTCCTTGTTGATCCTTTAATCTTTTGTTGCTAATTATAGTAATAAAAGAAGGATTTTCAAAGAATATCAAGTCTCTTAGCCAACTTAAAATAACAAAGGAAAAGAAATTTTAGAAAGAAAAAAGCGGTTAAATAACAATAATTAGGCCTGTTAACTTTTCTCTCTCACATTGCAACTAAGAAAATACGCTAAAACAAAAAAGGGATATAGAAAAGCGGATGTCTTTCAAGTAAAATTCAAAAAAAAAGGAAAAAACTTCAAGCTTAACCCCTCTATCTACCAATCCTTTATTCTTTTCAACTCTCTCAATTTTTTAAAAAAAAGAGAGGTGCGCCATAAAAAGCTAATTTTAGCAAAATATGTAGAAAAAAAAGACAAATTTTCTTTTTCAACTTTCCGACTTTAACGCAAGAAGCATTTTTTGTTTCTATGAATTTTTGTGTTTTGCGCTTTTTTAAAAAGAATTCTTTGTTCTTTCTTTTTTAAAGCATAAAATGGAAACATGAAGTAAATTCAGATCCTAGTTTATATTTTCCCCGAAATTACTCAAAGAATTTTCTAATAAAAATCCCTAAAAATTAGGGTCCAACATTTACGGGCAACTTTCAATTTTCAAAAGGATGTGGGAGGGGTGGTTCTTGCTACAGGGACGGGAACGATGGGTCATCCACAAGTTGCCCCCTATTATTATTAAAAAGCATCCTTAAGCTGCCCCCGTTACCAATAACAAGTTTAAAAAAAACCTCTCCCCCTGCATGATTGACGCGGTGACTTTTGCTACAGGGACAGGAACGATAGGTCATCCACAAGTTGCCCCGTATTATGACAAAAAAGCAACTTAAGTTGCCCCGTTACCACCAACAAAAGTTTGAAAAAAGCCTCCCTCCCCCCGTTACCATAAAGAAGTCATCTAGATGTTATCCCTTGCTGCCCCTAAAAAATATTTACTACAAAAAATCTCCCAAAAATTTATTTTTACGAAAAAAACTTCATTAAATATATTAATAAAGTCTTATGCTAACTATCCCAGACAAAATAAAAGTAAAAATATAATTATTCTAAACAAAACATATGTATTATAAATTATTTATATTAAAAAAATTTTTCCTTTCCGTTCCCCTATTATCTAGTTAACTTTGTAACAAACTCAAAACTTTTTTTTGCCTAATAAATATATAAAGTCTAGTCAAGTGCCCAAATATTTTTTTAGTTAGTTTAATAAATATCAAATTTCAAAACCCAAAAAAAAATTTTTTTTTCTTATTATTAAAAATCTCTCCCCCACCTGTTCAATAAGTCTTTGCTGGATTTCTAAAAGTTGTTCCTCAGGAATACCACATTTATCCAAACGAGAATTTTTTCGTTTTAAACGTTTTTCTGCTGCAATTTTGCATTCACCCAAAACAGAATTTGCTGCATCAACATATTCACGCGGAAATCCAAGATTCTTTAATGCTAAAAAAAATTAAAATATTTTTTTATTTTTTTAAATTATAAGTAATTATTAAGATTATCTTCTAGTTTTTATAATTTTTTCATAAAAAATTTTTTCAACAAATTTGTTTCAATCCTTTCTTATACATTTTAACAACATAAACTTAGAACTTCTCAATTTAGGAAAATCAAACGGCTCGTTCCCTGGTATACCAGATCTAACACTTTACTTCTATTTTTATTTCTTTTTTTTTATTTAAACACCAACCCTCCTCATCTCCTTTTTATCAGAAAACAAGCCAAGATAAGATTAGAATTTCAACATTTTCGACAGTCGGGACTCTCTATAAATTTTTAATTCTTGATTTTTGAGAATCTGGACTCCCAAGTCAAAAAATGTCTGAAATTCCCAAAATTCTTGGCTGGAAAGTCGGGTCGGCTTGTTCCTTAGAAGACCACCCCACAACAATTTACTTCTATTTTTATTTCCTTTTTTTATTTTTTTAAACCAAGCCCTCCTCCCTCATATCCTCTTCTCTCTTTTAAAATAAAATATTCTCTCATAATCAAAAATTAAAGCTAATGATGATGCCCCTTTGGGAAAATATTTATATACATATAATTACCTTTTTTTCTCTTTTATCCCCCTAAAAATAGTAGTTCTTAAAAATCAGTTAAAAAAGGAGGGTGTTAAAAAATCATTTTTTTATTCATTGGCTGACGTCTTCTATTTATTTCAATTTTTTGTTTCTTTTATTTTATTATTTTTTTCTAAAAAAATTCTCGGGATATCACATTCTCTTAGAAAAAATTATAGCTAATTTTCTTTATGTTAAAAGAGGGGATATCATTTATGATTTCAAAAAAAAACTACTAAATTTTTACTTTCCTTTTTTATTTAAAAATTTTTTTTATCTTTTGAAAAGCGCGAAAAAAAATTTTTTATTTTCTTAAATTTTTTTTTTAAATTTTTTTTTCATTTTAAGTGGACAGAGCTACCTATTTTTACATCATTTCAAATTTAAAAAAAGGGGATAAAAAATTTAAAAAATATTTAATTAAAAAAAAACGTAGATGGATATATAAAAATTAAAATTGCACCTCTTAAAATAAAAAAATCGTAAAGCTAGTGCTATATTTGGGTTTTATATAGCTTAACTCGGGTTCTACTATTCTGGGGACTTGTATTAGACTGAATTACATTATTTAAATATTTATTCTATCTAATTTAATTTATTCTCCATATAAATATGGGATACAATAACAAGGGAGAGAAATGGTTGGGCCAAGTCTTCTAATAATGAGGAAAAGTCTGGGGTATTTATAGAGACAATTTAAGGGTCAAAATATAAATGGAAAGTGAATAACAAAGATAAGATAAGAGTCAAGAATTGTTTGGGAATGTCGGGAGACCTTTATATTTAGAAAAAGGTCAACTTTATATTTGCATGTGAAAATGCAAATTGTTTATTTGATTAAGCGAATGCAGCATTCCTTCCCTCTTCGAAAAGAACGTCCACGTTCTAATATTTTGGGAGATTTGTTTAAGCTGCTTTTTTAACTAACTGCTTTTTTTTTTAACTAAATTTTCTCCGATTGAACGGGTGGCACTTTAATTTTTATTATTAATTTAGCTTTCTCGTCTTTTTTTCTCATGACGGAATTTTCAATAATTATTTTTCTTTTTTTTTTTTGTTGATATCGCTTAACAATCTCCATTTGGGTTTAAAAATCTTTTTCTTGTCATCAAAGATTTTCTGCTGTTGGTGATTTAACTCCATATTCTCCGACTTTAATAATTTTTAGAGAGAATTACTGAATAGGGCAGATTACATAATTTTGGGGGTTAAAAACAGAAAAATTGCATACATGGGAATTAAGAAAAATATTGGGTTACAAAAATTTAAAAAAAATTAATGAGTTTGACAAGAACCTATGGAGTTTCTTTCACAGCCTAGTTGAATTTGGAGCATCATTTCTTTCCAGTATTGTCCATTGTATTCAGATGATGAGTGCCATGTGTCATTTTGCATCCAGTTGACCAGTCATTTTATTGTTGACCCTTATCATTGAATTGTTGAGGCATAGTTCCATTATTGTTGTTCTTCTCTGACTTCTAATTGAGTTTCTCCGTTTTCAAAACGGGCAAAAGATTTTATGATCAATCTTCAAAATTTCTTATTTTTTTACTTTTTATGAAAAATTCTTAAACACTTTTTTCCTTCCCTTCAATAAAAAAATCGTCTTGTTTTGCTTGTCTTCCACAGCTATCACTGCTTAAAGATTAAGTTTAGATCCATTCGCGGTTTTATTTGCTGCGCTTCCACGCGTCTTATGCATTATAGCCAGGCACCTAGCCCGCACAAAGCTTCGGCTATTTAATTATTTACCACAGAAAGTTCTTTTCCGCTTCTATCTTCAGTGTTAACTTTTCAGATCATTACATCTTCAAGACGGGTTTTTTAAATCATTCCATTTCAATATTTCCACTTTCTAGAATTTTTCAATTTTTCTCACATCAGGCTATGCCATTATTTTATTTGTGGATGCTTTATTAATTTCAAATTTCTTAGCTATCTCGGTTTATAACCGGTATTTTAATTTATTCAATTTCACGAATATTTTCTTTCTTCGGGTCAATGCCCGGTATTTTTATTTTTAGTCCTCTCAGAATAGCCCGGGACATGTGGCACCAATTGCTATATTTGGGTTTTACATAGCTTAACTCGGGTTCTACTATTCTGGGGACTTGTATTAGACTGAATTACATTATTTAAATATTTATTCTATCTAATTTAATTTATTCTCCATATAAATATGGGATACAATAACAAGGGAGAGAAATGGTTGGGCCAAGTCTTCTAATAATGAGGAAAAGTCTGGGGTATTTATAGAGACAATTTAAGGGTCAAAATATAAATGGAAAGTGAATAACAAAGATAAGATAAGAGTCAAGAATTGTTTGGGAATGTCGGGAGACCTTTATATTTAGAAAAAGGTCAACTTTATATTTGCATGTGAAAATGCAAATTGTTTATTTGATTAAGCGAATGCAGCAGCTAGGAATTACGCAAAAAATTAGGAAGCTCCAACAAAATTCACACAATACTTAGATTTTAGGGCTTTAGGCTGCTTTAAAATTTAAAGCTCTAAAAACTGTCTTCCTTATTTCTTAACATAATTTCTTAAAATTTCTTAAAAATTCTTCCTCAGACTTCTTAGCAAATACATATTTAATAAACCTCTCAAAATAATTTAAAAATAACAGCACTCCTAAAATTAGAAAAAGCAGCACACTAATTATGTGTTTTAATCTCTTTAAAATCCTCTCACTTTCAAAAAAACTTCCAACACTTTTTTTAAAATAAATTAATTTATTTTTGGAAAATTATAACTTTTTGCAAATAAAATAAATCTCTTGGGGCTTTGATTGATTCCTTTTTTTGCTAATTTTAAAAACTAACAAAAAAAAGAACAATCTGCTCAAAAAAAAGCAAGTAAAGCTTTTGAAACTTTCAAGCAAATGTAAAAAAGCCCTAAGGGATTTTAACGTCAAACTTCATCACTTGGGGAAAGGGAGAGTTATTTTAAACATTGTTTCTTACTAGGAGGAGATTTGAAGAAGAAAAAAAGTAATCGGATCGAATTCTCAAAAGAAGAAAAGAGAAAAAAATTTTTTTTTAATCTTTAGTTTTCATTCATAAAATATTTTTTAATTCAAAAATTATTTATGGCTTTCGCGCAATTTTTAAAAATATTAAAAGAAAAAAAAGAAGGCTTAAACTTAAAGAATTAACTTAGAATTTGAACTTAAAAAAGTTTTAAAAAGAAAACTTAACTTGAAGAATTTAAGAATAAACTTTAAAAAATTTTTAGACTTAAAACTCGAATAATATTAGAAACTAGGGTTGTTTACGACCGATTTTAAGACCGGGATTTTTGAGTTTTTCTGCCAAAAATTAAACCGTTTTTATAAAATTTTAAAAACTGAAAACCGGAAATTCATAAAAATGAGTGATTAAAAAAAATATTACCCCAAAATAAAACCGGTATTTGTCTAAAACTCAAAATCGAAAACCGGGTTTTTAAAATTTGGATTAACCGAAAACCGGGGGTACCGGTTAATAAACGGTAGTGAACAATCCTATTAGAAACTTAATTTCTCATATTATTTTATAATGTAAAAGACAATTCAAGTTTTATTTTCTAAATTTACATGTGGTGCTAATCAAACAATGCTAATCATGTTAGCCCACAAATAAAAATATTATAAAAATATATTAATTTTTATTTTTTTTTCTCTTGCTTATCCTCTCTAATAATATACTTAATCTCTCAGATTTAAAAATTATCCTTTTCCATTTAGGTATGTGGGTGGCGGCCATAAAAGAATTCTTCTCCCTCTACTTTTCCCATCTACCTTTTTTGCACTTAAATCTAATATCCGGAAATGTAATTGAAAAAATCTTTCCTTTCCTTATTAAAATTTTTAAAAAATTATGCAACACCTTTCTGAAAGGATTAGGCAGATTAGGCACTTAATTAATTATTAATTTTGACTAGACACTTCTCAGCTCTTCCCTTTCAAAATTTAATTACACTAAAAATTTCTTCAACCACTCACTAACTTAACATTTTTTTCTGAATTTTTTGGAATTTTTTTTATTTATTCACCTTTCAAATTTTTTAAAACCCTCCCTCCCCTCCTATCCACCTTTTTGAACGTGATCATGGTAAATAGTCTTTCTTTGATCCTTTGATGAGATCATTTGTGCTTCTTTTGAAATGTGCTTTATAAATTCAACACAACACTGATTTAACACTTCGCGTGTTTCATTAGCAATGCGCATATCGGGAAGAGCATCTTTAATAACTAGAAAAATTTGTTACAATTTTTGAAAGTTTTCGATTTAAGCTTACTCATATTTAATCCTTTTTGAGGCAATCCAACTCCTTCAGCTTCTTCATCAGCCATTTTTTCTCTTAAAAATTGGGGGAATATTTAAATTTATTTAGGTATTTTAGCAAGTGTAAGTATACCGTATTTACTCGATTAATTCCCCTGGAGAATTATTTTTTTCAACCCTTCCTTGGCATGGGGAATTAATCGAGGGAGGGGAACTATTCGAGTTTTGGCATTCGAACGTGCAGTAAGGTATTTGAGAGTGGGAAATTATTGTTTCAACCCAACACTAGCATGGGGAATTAATCGAGAGGGGGAATTATTCGAGTGAGGGGAATTATTCGAGTGAGGGGAATTATTCGAGTGAGGGGAATTAATCGAGAAAATACGGGATTCTCTGAAATATTTTCTAAAAATTTTTTTTAATTCTTAAGAAAATCCCTCTTTAAAAAATCCCAGATTTAAAGGCACGCGCATTCCTTCCCTCTTTCCATTTTTATAAAAAAACTTCCCAAAATCCCCCTCCCCTTCCATAAAACTCAAAAAGAAGAACAAAAGTAATCCATGCAAAAAAAAGCTAATGAGAAAAACTTGAAGCTTTTCAAAATTTTTTGGACTTTTTAGAAAGCGAAAGAGTTGAGTTTTTTGAGAAAAAATATATAAAAAACCGTCAAAAATTCAGAGGACTATTCAACTTTTGTTATCCATTAGTTCAATTTATTTTCCCATTCTTTCCCTATCCTTTCCTTCCGGAATAGGAATTCTAGACTTACTCTCCCAAAAAACTCAAATCCAAACACAAAAACGTTTAGTACAAAAAAAAGATTGAGTAAAAAGGACACTCTTCCCAATTGAGTGGGTGGTGGGAAGCGGGGATGAAAGCGGGATTTAGGACCTAAACAATCATACCAAAAATATTAGGAGACAATTGACGTTCGCGCTTGCGTGTTATTTTTTTCTTTCATTATAAAATATTTTTACTAAAGAAAGTTAAATTTTTTTACTGGCTGACATTTTCCAAAATTTATCTTATTTATTTATTTTTAAGGGTGCTCGTTTGCTTGTTCATTCCCAAAAAATTTTAAAAAAAAAATATTTTTAAAAATCCAAAAATGATTATAAATATTATTTATTAGGGCCAAAGATTGAATATCCTTTGACTATTTAAGTAATGTTTAAAACAGCCTAAGGCTATAAATAAAGACAAGACAAAAGAAACATATAAGTGGTTAATTGTTTAAATAAGGGATTTATAAGGCTAAAATTCCAATTTTAGAAAACCAAAAAAGTAATAAGAAAAATAAGCAAAAAAAGAAAGATTTGTTAAGACATTGCTAGGTTTCTGTTTTTTGGTTTCAAAATCCAAAAAAAAATTTTTTTCTAATAATTTTTCCCTATTTACAGAGGACATGAATGATTCAGAAACAATAGAAAATTATGAAGATTTCCTATCCCAACTATCTTCTACTATGATCCCAACAACTACAACATCCTCCTCTCCCTCAGCAATATTCACTTCAACATTAGCAACCCCACTAATTTCAGAAACAGCACAAATACCATCACCAACACCCAAATTAAATATTAATATTGTTGCCTATTGTTATATAATGCCAACAATTTGTGTGCTAGGAATTATTGGGAATTCGATGAATGTGGTAACACTAGCTAGTCCAAGATTGAAAGCTGTTTCTTACATGTAAAAAATTTTTTGAAGAGATTAAACCTATAACTATCTTCAAACATGCTGAAACAGATTTTTTAAAAAGCGAAACTCGAAACGCGAAATTTTTAAACATTTCTCCGATAAGATGAGAAAACTCCAAAGATCAGTCAAATAAAAGCTTTTTTCCATATAGAAATCTAAGTTTAAGTTTTACAAAATCTATTAGGATTCCGATAGACAACGAAGATATCAAGGGATTTGAGGGAACTATTTTACGTAGTGAACTAATTTGGCCACCTAAAATTAGAAGGATATTTAGCTGTCCTATCTCCCCTTCAAATAAGTAAACTTCTCGATCCCCAAGTCTAATAAAAAACTTTTTAAAATAAATATAAAAATCTAGGTATTTGCGTGCTCTAGCCGTCTCAGACCTTTTATGCATGCTTTTTGTACTAGCTTTCGCTTGTTGCGAGGTGCTCAAAGAAAGTGGTGTTCCTATTGAACGGCACCCCTTATATGGATTTTATCAAGCACATGTAATGCTTTCGGTTAGTTTAAAAATTAAAAAATTTTTTTGATAAAAAAAATTTTTTTGCAGTTCATAAATTGGGCATTAGCAACAGGCGTTTATATTGTTGTAGCTCTAAGTTTGGAGCGTTACGTATCCGTTGTCTTTCCTCTTCATTTTCGCATGTGGAATTCTCCTAAACGTGCAATGAAGGCAATTATAATAGCTTATACAGTCCCAGCATTGTTTTATATTCCATATGGTATTGGAAGGTATTCAGTTAGTGAAAAGATTAATTCACGTGGAGAAATAACTTATGGTGCTATTGACAGCGAAATTTCAAAAACTTTTGGATGGCAGGTAAAGAGACCTATTTCCCCATCAAACACAAAAACCTTCACCAAATCTCTCTTTCAGGTCTACAAATGGACTCGAGAAGCATTTCTTCGTTTTTTACCAATTGTTATCCTTTTTGTGCTCAATTTTCAAATAATGATAGCATTTCGTCGACGTCAAAAAATGTTTGATAGACTAAGAAATCGAGAAACTGCAGCTAGAGATGATACCCTACTTTACATTTTAGGAGGGATTGCAGTTATGTTTTTTGTTTGTAATATACCTGCAGCTATAAATTTGTTATTTATTAATGAAGTTGTTAAGAAAAGGCCGGATTATCAGGTTACAAAAAATTTTTTTTATTTTGAAAAATTTTCCCCCTTTCAGATTTTTCGCGCCGCCGCCAATTTACTCGAAATTACAAATCACGCAGCTCAATTTTATATTTTTTGTGTTTGTTCTAGTGATTATAGAGTGACATTTATGCAAAAATTTCCTTGTCTTAGAGTAAGTTTTCGTCAAAAAAATTTTTTAATGAAAAAAATTTAAAGGCTTATTATGTAAATAAAAGCAAATTTTGCTCATTTCTTCGAAATGCCTCTCAATTGCCTAAAAGATCGGTAGCTAGAAGAACAATTTCAACAACAACAAATTCTAAAATTGGGAACAATGTTAATAATGTTTGTGGAACGATGAGACGTTCAGTTTCTGCTTCAAATACGCCTTTAAATGGTGAGGAACCTTATTTCTGAAGTATAAAGATAGTTGAATTTTGATACTAAAATGACCCTTAGAAATATAACGAACCTCTTGAAATAACTTTTTCTTCTGTCCTTTCGAGTTCGAGCTATAGTCAAAAGACAAAAAATCAAAGAAAGACTATCAAGAAAAATAAATAGAAAATTATGAGGGCTAACATAAGGACCAAAGAAGCTTAGCTTTAGAAGAAAAATTTAAAAAATTCATGAGAAGCATTTGAAAATAATATTCACCCTCCCGAATAAAATAAATAAAAATTTTTCAGCAAAACATGGAGACAAAAATGATAGACGTAATGGCAAATCCAAAAAAGGAGGGGGAGGAGGAAGTGCCATAGCTGAAATGACTTTTGTTCGAAGTACAACAATAACTGGAGAACTTTTATCTACTTGTGGAGGACATAATACAGAACAAGAAACAATTGATGCACAGATTGCTAGTTTAGAATCGTTAAGTGATGAATCTGAAACTTTATTAAAACAACAAAAAAATAGAGAGGGAAGTTGGGGAAGTCCTATAACTACAAAACTTTGTTTAATTGGATTAGATGGGGATGAGGAAGAAGGAATAATTTGTAGAAGATCGAGTAATGGAGAAGGAATAATTGCAGAAGATGAACAAACTGATAGAACAGATGGAACGAGTTATTTATAGTTTATATTGAGAGCTTTATATTTTTTGATTTTATAATGCCATATGTATTTATAAGATAATAAAGATTAATAAATTACTTATAGATTAATAAATTATTAGGGGTGTGCCAGTTTCGCCTTTGCGACGTTTCGCCTGTTAAATTAACTTTCGAATTTTCGCGCTTTGCCGTTTGCGTTTTTGAACGATATATACGCCCCTAATGAGTTATGTTAGTGAAAGTAGGTAAGCCGGGGAAAGGAGAAAAAAAATTAATTTTATATAAAATTCTATTCGGAACACGCCTTAGAAAAACATGTATAGGTACCAAAGGACAGACCATCAAAAAATACACGAAACCCCATTTTAACAAATTACCTAAGTTCTTAAATTGGCTTACCGAGATCCAAGAGATTCAAGCACAAGGAACAACAGACAGAACAATTTACAAAGCCAAACAATAAGAATGGAGTACAAAACTAGTTAAATAATTTTAAAAAATTTTTAGAAAAATCAAAAAAGAAAAACAAAAAGTTGAGGAATCAACATTTAAAAATATAAAAATTAAATTTAATAACAAATGTTTTTCTTTATCAAATTCAAAAATTATATAAAAAAGATTATACTACAAGTTATAATTAAATATACATATATCTTTACATTAAAAATATAGGGGTACACCCCGATGTACCGCAGTCCAATGTACCGCGAGCTCCAACTTTGTTCAAGATTGTCGAATCCGTGGCGCCCTGGTACGTTTTCGATGCGGCTAGACCAGCTGAATCGACCAAACCAGGGCACCACGGATTCGACAATTTTGAACAAAGTTATAGGTCGGCGGCACATTGGGCTCGCAGTAAACTGGCCTGCCCCCAAAATATAGGCACACAAATTAAGTAAGTTTTTCAAAAAAAAATATTTTTAAATTTTTGGTTGAATTTCAAAATCTTCAATCATTTCAATTGGCACCGAAATTTTACCTGAAGCAAGAACAAAAATTTTTGGTCCAGATCCAAGATGAATTTCTAAGCCAGAGAAATGTGAAATTTGTTCTTTTTGAATTTTTGATAATTTTCGTAAAGCATCTAATAAACGTGTAAAATTTAAATCTGCATCCCAACTAAGTGAAGTTAATTCCAAATGCGAAACAGTTGAATTTTTAACGCTCTCCAAGAAATACTGAAAAATAAAAAAATAAATAAAAAAAGAAGCTAAATCCAAAATAATAAATTCTCTCGATAAGGCACCGTTCGTGGCAGTGATGTCACGGGTTACACGATACCCGAACTTTTTCTCAATCCGATCCTAAGAAAATTTTGAAAACCCGACACAACTTTTTCCAACCCGTGACATCCCTGGTTCTGAGCGACTTTTGTGACCGTAAGAGAAGTGGCTAAGGAGGAGTGTCATTATTGAGAGATTCCATGGAAAGACTCAGTTATACATACAGAGGTTCACAGACAAGGAAACTACCAAATTACTATTTGACAACTTAAGGAATAGGATTGGGGGCCCAATTTGGTTCGAAAGATCAAACCGGGCCTCGAATTTTGGCACGAAAATGACTCGAACGGCCCGGTTCGATATAAATGAGGCCCGAAAATATGACTCGAACACCGGCGTTAGCGAGGCCAAGCTAATTCGTAAAAAAATAATTTATAAATTTAAAGAGAAACCTTCTGTTCAAAATATTCCTTTCTCATTTTCTCAGCTTTTGAAGCATCATTTTTATCAATAAAATGTTTCAATGCCTGAATATCAACATTACAAGGTATTTGTAAAATTCCTCGAAGAAGTGCCAATTCTGAATACCCATTCATAATTTGAACTTGTTGATCCTTTTTGAGAAGAGAATTAATTTTAGAAAGTTCAGATGGAGGTTGTGAACAAATTCTAAAAACAGAAAAATGAAAAAAATTTTATACATTGTGGGATACAGCCCAAAACGGCACGCGGCCTTACAGGCGCAAAGCCATAACTTGCTGGAAAATGTGTGGCCATTAACAATTTTGGTACAATTAATACTAAATTTGATAAGATTAGGGAATCTTGAAGTTATGGCTTTGCGCCGTTATGGCCGTGTTAAGCGTGTCCCATGGTCTAGTTCACGAGACAAATGAAACATAGAATCCTATGAAAATTTACGAGTCCATTAAAAACATAAAGTCCAAACAAATTTGGACTCATAAATCTTCATTGGACCCTCAAATATTTGTTTGGACTCATAAACTAAACCATAACCAAACTTCTAATTAAAAATTATTTTATTTAAAAAAAAACCTTGCAATAAAAAGTTTCACGTTCTTAATTGTTTGAAGTAAACCATCATGAGGTTGAACTAATAAATTTATTCCTCCCAAAAGTTCAGCAACACGTTCAACAAGTCTTTCAAGATTTTGAACTTCAAATCTTCAAAAAATAATAATTTTTGTTTAAATTAAAATATTCTTCTAAATTTTTAACTACCAAAAGATGATCAAAAAATATTTTCTCTTTAATTAAAAATCACGTTAAAAATTTTGTGGATTCTATACAAATTTTTTGCCAAGCACCAATTGCGTCATCAGCACCAAACTTAATGAAAAAAAAATTTTTTTAATTTTTAATCCAAAAAATGTCATTCCAAATTAAAAAAAAATTAAAAATACCTGTAAAGACCCATTACAACAAATATGAGAACCACGTCCAAAACTTAAAATAAATTGTCAAAGTTTAAAAATAAATTTAAAAAAACGTTAATTGTCTGCCATTTAAAGAATAAATTATAAAATCCTTCGAATGCTTGTCTGCATGGTTGATCATCTCAAGAACATTAATAAGGCAGCGACGCATAAAAGTAAGTTCCCAATTTATAGACCAAAGGATCTAAAAAATTATAAAATTGATTTTTGGATCGCGGTGAATAAATTGAAAAAGATTAAATAACCAAAAATTAGAAGCCAGATTTAAAGGAAAAATTTTCTAAAGCTAACAACTGACACCAAGCGCGTAGCCAGGGGGAGGGGGGCTTCTGAAGCTATAGCCCACCCCTAAAATCGACCTCCTGGCTACGCCTTTGACTGACATTATATATCGGACCGAGACGGTAGTTCTAACAAAAATATAGGTTATCGAGATATTTTCCTGGATATCAAGCTTATCTACAAGGCCCTCCCATTCGATCTCTAATTGACAGTCAAATTACAAATTCAAAACCTGAGTTAAACCAGTTTTCCTTTTAATCTCGTCAATATTGTCCTCAATTATTTCAACCATAACTTTATGTCCGTCTCTTCTTTGCATTGCCAATTCTCGATTTTTTGATAATTCATTTAATAAATTAACAGAATAAAAACGTTTTTGTCTTAAACGTTCATTTTCCTGTAAATTCTTCCAAATTTCGTCTAATCCTGGAGCAAAATTTTGTTGAGCCGTTTTGGTGCCTTTTTGGTTTTGTGAAAGGTTGTCTCGTACAGGCAAATGGGCTGTGCTTAATTCACATCTTTCAAGTGCTAGTCTAAATAAAAATAGATAAAGAGATTGAAATAGGAAAAATTTTTACTTAATAATTTCCGCTGGATCTGCGCCAGAAAGAAAAATTCGAATACTTTTAAAGTTGGAGAGTGTGTCCCTCACTGTGAACTCAACCTAAAAATTAAAAAAATAAAGTCATTCAATCTAATTGTAAGATACGAACATTGACAGGCATTTGGGTTACAGGCTCTGGAAATAAATTGTTGATGTAGCCATTGAAGACCTGAAAATTAAATTTTGTGAATTTCAATAAGAAATTTTAGTTGAAATTAACAAAAAGGAGAAAAGAGATTTGGCTTTAACAAGGAAAATACAACTAGAAAATTATGCAAAAACCCATCCAAAATACAAGACAAACTGGATCCAGAGTTTGTGATTTTTCATCGACTCAAAGCAAGGAATCTGGTCAGGGTCCTCAAACAAAATAAGGTTCTTAGAAACCTGCAATGCTCTCTCATTTCTCGTTTGAATATCCGGTTCTTGAGCAAATCTGAAAAATATTAAAAGTAAAATTTAAAAACAAAAAATAAAAACCTGTCAGGATGAACTGCAAAATAAAACGGACGCAAGGCTATAGCAGCCTCTTTCGCGGAGAAGAGGCAATGCTGGGTCACACAAACACTTGGAAAATTTCTAAGGAAACGGAGAGTGTTGGGACACATTTCTAAACAATATATGAAAGAAATTTAACAGGGACATAAAAAATAAAAAATAGACTGAATAAAAATCTTGTGAAAACAAAAAAAAATTATAAAAATAATTTATTTTTTAAACTTTAGGAAATACTCTCATAACAACAATCATCGCAATAAAGGACCATATCACAAAAATAACAATCAAAATCATCATAAAATTGAAACAGGATTTGTATGCATGATGTTCTAAACGGCCACTTTCACGAACTAAATTTTCTTTGTTGCTTGAAGCAATTCTGTGCATGACATCGAGAGCCTTTAAATTAAAAATATAAGGTACACTTCCGTATCACTACCAGAATTTTTTGCGGACTTTTTTAACCTTTGCGGACACATTTTAAAAGAGGAAATATATGAAAGAAAAAATAATTTCAATGACCAATATTTCCTCCAAGAGAACAAAACCTCTTCAAAAACGTCATTTTCGCCAATCATTTTCTTCAGCATAAACTCGGCAAGATTTCTTAAGAAGAAAAATAAATGTGTCCGCAAAAAAGAAAAAAGTCCGCAAAAAATTCTGGAAGGGATAACGGAGAAGAAACAAATAAATTTTAAAAAATCAATTTAAAATAACCGCATTATCCTCTTTAAGCACAGAACCAGCAGTTGTAAAATTATGTTTCAAACTTCCAGTCAATCTAAGCAATTCTTGTGCAAGGCCTTCATGTTGTTTTTCTTCGTCTAATAATTCTCGAACTTGTTCTTCTTTAGTTTTGTCTGAGGCATTATTTTTGTTGTCATTATTTAGATCCTGTACTTCTTGAAGTCGTCGACGAACCATTTATGAATAAAATTTAAAAAAATATTCGCCTAAATAAAAATTTTTTTTTATAAAAAGCTGACTAAAAGACTCAGAACGTGACAGCCGGATAAAATGCCCAATGGGATTATATAAAGTTGACATTTTGACATTCTCCACTTTAAAGAACTGCTGGAAAATATTAGAGAAACTAGAGAGTGAAAGGAACTTTTACAATAAACCGGTTAAGGACGATTCAGTATCGCCGATTCAGTATCCGCCGATTCAGTATATGGCCATAACTTCCCTGATATTCGACCGATTCGAATAATTCTCATATCATTCGAAAGGTCTAGAGATTCGACATCTTTTTCATAATTGGCCCGATCTGATCTGATGATCACAAAAAAAGTTACAGCGTGAAAACCGATTTTTTATGCCTGTGACGTCGTTTATCAGTGATAACTTTTTGTAGAGTGATCAGATCAGGGCAGTCCAATTATGAAAAAGATGCAGCACCCCGAGACCTATCAAATCATAGAATAATTCCTACAATATTGATCGAGCAAAAAGTTATGGCCAAAAAGCTCAGATACTGAATCGGCCAATACTGAATCGGCGATACTGAATTGGCGATACTGAATCGGCGATACTGAATCGTCCCCTACCCACAATAAACTTTTGACAAAATTTAATTTTTAAAATTCGATTTTCTTTAGTACTTTTACAATGTCACCAACAACTTCATCAAATATTTCACAGGAGGAGGATTTTAAATCTCAACTTGAAAGGCGTAAGTTTATCCTTAAATAAATTAAATATTCATACATTTATTTTTAATTATAGAAATTACATCTTTGACAGAGGAACTTGGATCAAAAGAAGCTAATAATGCAAAATTAATGGAGCGTTATGAGGAAGAATATAAAAAATTACTTGAGGATAGGGCTGAGAATGAAATGTTATCGGAAAAAATTAAATTGCTTAATGTTTCTTTGGGAGATAGTGAGGCAAAACTTAAAGGGTTTTTAATTAAGAATTTTATTATTTTATTTTTTATTTAATTTAAAGATTCAAAAATGATTCGGAGAAGGAAGATCAAGCATTGGGAGTTAGGGTATGGATTTTTTAAAAATATTTTCTGATAGTAAGAATGAGCGGCATTTAAGACGATTAGGAGAGGGGGTTGACTGTTCATAGGTGAAAAGAGAAAGCAAAAGCTGCTGCTCAGGTAGCTCACTGGTAGAGCATCTACATAGGTGTAAGTGAGGCAAAGCGAGTACTGTCAGTTAGAGATCTAACGAGAGTGTTGTACTATCGGATATCTCGAAAAATTTCGATAATTGGGATTTTTGTTCGAGATCTCATCTCGGTCCAATCTTTAGTCAGCCTTTGCTAAACTCATTAATTTCAGAAAATTCAGAAATTTTTCCGATTTTTAGGTCGACAAGTTCCGCAAGACGTCGGCAGAACACAACAAACATCTTCACCGTATTTTTGAAACTCTCAAAAGTATGCGAATTTCTGATGAGGTTAGTTTAATAAATGTAGAGGTAATTAAAATTCGAAAAATTTTTAGGATCACTATGGGGATATGTCTAAATTTAAACAGGAATTGCGTCAAAAAATAGATGGTGCGAAATCTGGATGTAAAAAATAAATTTTTAAAATTTTTGAAAAAATTTTTTAGGTGCTTTAGCTTCGGAGGAATCGAAACAGAAGAAGGAAGTTTTGGCAAATTTGGACGTTAAACTTTCTAAGGTTGATCAAAAAGAAATTACTACGGAAATTAAGAGTGAACTTACGTTAGTTTTTCTTCTAAATTTTTCTAACAAAAAATTTTCTTTTGAATTTTAGTGAAACAACCATTAATATTTTGAAAGCTCGCCGCAAGAAATTATTGGATTTGAAGATGTCTAATCATTCGGTATTTTTTTTAAATATTTTTTAAATAAAAGAATTTTTTTAAAGTTGAGAACCAAACTTGCTCAAATGAAGGATATGGGTCAAGAATAAATTTTTTTTGAAATATTTTAAGTAAAGGTGATAGAATATTTTTTTGAGATCTCGTTTTGCCAAAAAAATATGGTAATACTTTGGTTTGACCCCTTTTTTCCTTTCTATTTTTCTTGTTTTTATGGCACATTTTTGAAAGGGCTCTTCGAATTGAGTCGATTGACACTAAAATAAACAAAATATGACCAAAATGAATCAAGTTCTGACCATCTGCTTTAATCCCTTGTAGCGGCACAAATTTGTCAAATTAATTATTTAATGCCTCCAATTTTGATTTTTAGCGCTGCAGGCGAAAATTTTGTGAATTTTGGAAGGTCGTAGGCTAAAAAAATTTTATTTTTTTTTCTCTCCAAAATTTCTTTCATTTTCCCATTTCCAAAGTATTATCAAAAATGTTATTTTTCAGGTATTTTATTTTGAAAGAAAATTTTATTTTGAATTATTGAATAAAAAATTTTTTAAATAAATTTTAATAATTTTTTCTAAATCTTATTTGGATTATACATATTTATTTTTATTTAAAAATATATTTTAGAAAGAAAAAAGTTGAATAGTTTTGTGAAAGGGTACATTTTGACACTTTTAATAATTTTTTTTAGAATAGAGAAAAACAATAGGAGAGACTGCAAGTAAATTTTTTTTAGCTAAATCTAAACAGATTTTTTTAATTTTTCAGGAAAAAAATTTTAAACTTGTAATCAATCAAAATAAATGGAACAAATAACTAAAAATTTCAATAACGAGGGAAATGATGTCGCTAACGATTCGCAAGTTGATTCGGAATCTTTAAATGATGTTAAATGTGATGTATGCCCTACAACTTCTGTACAGTGTCAAATCGGTTTTTTAATTTTAATATTTTTTTAGTTTCTGGATGGGGTTATTTACCCGAAATTTCTTCCCTTTATTGATTCCCCTCGAATTAACATCCAAGATTTCCACTCGTGAGGTCTTTTGATTTCTCTTTTAAGTGATGTTCGGTGTTTGGAAGTTTTAAATTTTACTATGTAATACTTGACCGAATTTCTATCCTTGTACACGAGTACGAATTTTGGTAAGAGCTTTCAAACACGGTTGATCCTTCCCCCATTTTGTCTTTAAAAAGGTGGGTAGAGTTGCAGAAGTGTCCGAATTCTAAATTGTTGTGGATTTAAATATGTGCTGGGAACGGTCTTATAAATTTCAATTTTGCTCGTACATCGTACCAAAGTCGAGTTTGAATTTTGGGTATAAGCTCTGGTTGGGAATTGGGGAAAATTATTAAATTTTCTATAGAAGATAATCTAAGAAATTTTAGTTGAATTTTCCCCAACATTTTTTCTTTGTTAAAATGTTTTTTAAATCCTCTCTACCTTTTAGATTCATTCTCAATTGGTGACTTTATTCGTTGTTCAACCAAATCTTCTCATTTTTCTGGCGAATTGATAATAAATGATGTAACTAATGGAATTCTACTTTTAGAGGAATACTTAAACAATGGAAAGTCAACATTACATTTTGTCAAAAAATGTGGACTTTTAACGGTTTTCCTTGTTAAATTTTTCTTTTTTAAATTAATTTTTAAGATTGAAAAAATTTTCCCTTCACAAAAAATGCAAAAAAGGCGATCTAGCAATTTAATAAAACACAACAATTCTCTATACACAATTGATGAAATTGAAAGAACTGAAAGTGTTTTGGAAAGTGATTATTTTATTAAAGATGAACAGGCTAAAAGGACTTTTTTGGAGCTTAAAAGGATGTTTGTTTTTTAAATTAATCTTGATTTTTTATATTCCTTTTCACAAAAAGTATATTTTATTGTCTCTGGGAATCCTAACTTTTTCGGAGATTTTTTTATAACCATTTTTTTAGAGTGTAGGAATTGGAGCCCGAAGAGTATATCTGTCATTTATGGAAATTCTCTGTCCTTTTTGGGTACTTTTCCAAATTTAGACATTTTTTGGGGTATAGGGGGTTGTAAGTTTCAGTTGTAAGTATCAGTTGAATTTTCAGAAATTTTTTTATACGCTAGAGAGTCCTTTTTTAGAAATTTTTTTAAAGTTATTTTTTAGAGGGGAGGGGGCCCATGGAGATATATGGGAATTTTTACAATTTTTGGTCAATTTTTCAATTTTCAGAAATCCTTTTTGGGGGGTAGAGGAACCTTTAAACTTCTCTCTTCTAATGCCACTTTTACTGATATATAACTGGCGTAAATTTATCACAAATTTTATTTTAAGATTCGATGACGTCATCTGGGATGGCTCAAATATTTTGGGTTATTTTAAAAATTTCTCTGATTTTTTTCAAATTTACTTTTTAGTCCTAAAATGTATTCGCGTCTTCCATCCATACGATTTTAAATCAATAGAAATTATTGATTCTAGAAGTTCTTCACTGGAAGCATTTACTCGTGTACAGAAAATTGTTAGTTTATTTTGTGTTAATTTTATGAGGTTAATTTTGGGGAAATATTTTCCAGTGGTTTAGGAAATTTTTGGAATTCTCGGAGAAATATTTTTATAAGAATAATTTTGGGAATAAATAAATTTTTTATTAGCTCACCTAAAAAATCTTTTTTTGGCCACGTATAATTTTTTATAATTTTCTAAAAAAATTTTTTTTCATGTTTTTAAATTTTAACAGCTTGAAATGAGGCGAGATTGTCGAACAATTCCATCACTTTTATCACTCAATTTTTCATTAATGGATGTTTGTGCACCGGGAACATCTCAACAATTAACAACAGAAGCTTCACAAGGAGAAAATGCGTAAAACTTTTTAACTTTTTTTGATTCACTTGTTTTTATTTTTAAAGGGATTAGGGGAGGGCTCACAAAATTTTCCGAGACCTGAAAAAATTTAAAAAATTTTTTTGACAGGAAAATTGATTTTTTAAGGATTTTTTTTTCTCCGTGGGAAGGCATTTTTTCAAAATTTCCTATATAAATTAGTAGTCCATAACCCCTTATTTTTATTCAACTCTTCAATCTAATTGTTGTATTTATTTGTTCTAATATTTATTGTATTTATTTATTTTTTAATCGAATTTCTTTTTCTTAAATATTAGAGCTGAATGTCTAAAAAACAAAAAAAAAATTTTGGCTCTGGTCTAGGTCAGAGTTGTTTCGAAATTTCGATTTTGAGATTATTTTTCCTTTCGATTTTGAAAATTTGAAAAATATTTTCGATAGATATTTTTGAACAATTTCGATTTTTTGTTTCGAAACAACTCTGTTTTACATAATAGGTTATGAGTCCTATGAATATGAATTTTTATTAGACGTGTAAAGAAGCTTCATTTGACTTATAAATTTTTGATGGACTCACGAACTAGACCAGAACCAAAAAATTAAAAAAATTTCACTGTCTTTGAAATTTTCCCAAAATAATTTTTTCGTAAAAATTCCTTTTTTCTTCTTCTTCTTCACTTTCCCTGTTTTCTTCCTCTATTCTTTATTTTCTCCATTATTCTTTTCATAAATTCCAGTGGAATTGGTACTACCTAAAAATGGCATAATTTATATGTATGTTAATTTAAAAATAATAAAATTTCTATTTAAAGATCTTAGTTTTTAGAGGATTTTTAGTCGATTTTAAAGTTAAGTTTTACGTAAGTATGGTTATGTTGAGAAGAAATTCTGATTAGCGTTTGTAGGTATCGCAAGTGAAGAGAAACCTTATTGCCACAAACAATATCTGCCGCTTGGACTAATTGTCTTTAAAAAGATTTTTTAATTTGGTGTTCAAGAGAATTAAAAAAAAGTTTTACCGGCTTGCACTTCGCTCACCATCTGCAGCTATAATTTTAGCACGTGCATCGCGAGCTGCTTCTGCCTCTGCAGCCATTGACTATAAATTTTTTAACCATTATTTTTATACCATATACGGTATATGTTTTAAATTTTAAACACAAAATATATAAGTACCTTCATTAATTGTTGAGGAAGTCGAATGTCTTTAATCTCTACCCTTTCCACTTTTACACCTACAAAGTATATTTTATTTCTCAATTTTTTCAAAAAAACCCCAAGGATCAGTTCCATCATCAAGCACCTTTTCTGTTATCTAAAATTGTTAATTTAATTTAAAAATTCCAAGGTCATACATTTGATATTATATCCCTTTCCATTAATATTTCACTGAGAGTTTTGGTGCCTAAAACATTCCGAAGAGTTCTAGAGGGAAGATTTGACTGTAAAAAAGACTAAGAAAAAGCTCACGTTTGTGCCAACAATTTTGTGCTAAATTGGGCATCATTTACACTAAAAAGCTTATTTAATGTCTAAATTTTCAAAAAAAAATTCAAACTTTGTAACGGAAATAACTGGATTTGAAATACGAAAGTATATAACAGCCTCTACTGATACAGTAACTGAATCTCTTGAAAGAATTTCTTGTGGTGGAACATCGAAGGAAAGAACTCGTAAATCTACCTAGATTGAACTGGTTTTTATTAAAGTTTAATTTAAGTTTTGTCGATTGGGGGTGGGGGGAGAGAGAGGTCTGAGGTTATCGACCATGCTCTGCATGATGGTATAATTTTTATTTCAAAAATTTCTTTACTCACAGTTCGAAAGGTCCTCTTGTAAGATTTTAAAGACTTGTTTCTTCTTTAAAGATTTAACTTAACATAAATTTGAACTTTAAAACTGTGGGTTCACGACCGGTTTATTTTTCCCCGTGCTTTATTTCTATTTGTTTGAGCCTCGATATTAAGAAAACTGTCGTTAATAATCTTATTTAAAACCTAATTTCTTTCTTAAGCTTGGACTTAATCCAATACCAGTTTCAAGTTTACACTTAAAAATAGACTACATACCATTCTATACGTGTCAATGCATGGCATAATAAAAAACATCTAAATTTATAAGATCAAATATCAGATTAAACAATTTAGTATTACCCCTGGTCCTTTCGTTCCACGTTTAATAAGCCTTGAATTATTAAATTTATTTTTCAAGTAATTTTTTAATACCTTCCCAATCGAAACACAACAGCTCTTTCATATTCTCTAGGGAAAATAATTTTAATTTTTACGGGGATTTTTTGGGGAAGAAAATTACTTAGAAACACGTAGACAAAACGGAATACAGAAAGGGAAGGTAATAACAAGGAGTAGAACAGAAAGCACATAAAGGCATTTAGATATGATTGGTACTTGTCGATTTAACTAGAAATTGTAAACGTGATTATGAGCCTGTATGGTGAACTCACACCTTTTCGTCATCAAGCAAATGCCTAGTACGAATCAACCAACTTTGTGAACGTGCACGTATTGGTATTTTCTCGACCGTATCCTAAAAGGAATGTTTTTGGTTTTATTTTATTTGAAATTTTTGATAATGGATCAGGGTGGCCCTTCAACCTGATTTGGGAGGCATTTGCCCGTTTTTTGGCCTTCTCGTTACTTTTTTGATGTTTTCTGAAAAGGTTCCCCCAAAATTCTTTAAATTTTTGCCTACGGCTCTGAAATAGAGGGATAAAAGAGATAGATCCCAAAATCCACCATCACCGCGGTGTTGAGTTAAAACTAGTTCAATTAAAACTCTAGTCAAAAATATGAAAATTAAAGAATTTTACTTCAAATTATAATTATTTTTATGTAGGTGTTAAAAATAATGCCCCTTTTTTGCTCATTTTTTGAGAGGCCATGTCCCCCTTTGGTGATTTGGAAATGGCCACCTAGGTTTAATTTTAAGTTTCAATTTGAGTTTAAGAACAAGAAAAGAATATACCATTTATAACAGAAGGGATAAAACAAAAAATAGAATAAGATTAATTTTTAGGGAAAGAAAAGCTTGGCATAAATTTGTAAAAATAAAAAAATAAGATTTATATTCAATATTTTATTTTAAAGAATTCCCGTAGGATGCTTTAACCTTTTAACCAAAAAAATGAAAGGAATTAACTAGCAAAAGGAAAGCAGTGGTAGAATTAAATGCTTAAATTAAAGCTTTAAGGCTATTTCGAGCATAAATAAAAATACTAAAACGGGGGAAAAAAATAAATGCGCTAGCTAATGAACGATTAAAAGATTGGGGTAAAAATAGATTTGTGTGTTATATTTTTATTTCTAGGACAAATTTTACGGGAAATTTTGAACTTTGTAAGACCCCTTTTTATTTTATCCCCAAATCTATGTTATACCCAGCTCTGCGTTGTTAGAACCTAATGTTCTATGATCTATGTCGTAAGTATACATATGCCATAAATCACCAGCTTCCGTAATTAGAACCTAAACAAACGTTGGGTGTGTGTACCAGTGTTGCGGCTGGTACAAAAAATCTTCAGGGACGGGTTTCGGGTACAAAAACCGGGTTTAGGGTTTCGAACATCAATCCTGGTGTGTACCACTACTATTTTCAATAGGTTCACATATCCGTTAAAATCTTATGGGAATAATCTACTCACACAGAGTTATGGTACCTTAGGTTCTAATACGCAGAGCTGGATACCTATCGCCATAGTTTTGGAGAGATAATAAAAAAGAGCCATACAAAGTTCAAAATTCCCAATTTACTTGATCCTATCTTACAAACTCGTTTATGTGGAGGAGCTTCCCATTGAGTCAATCCAATTTCATAAGCACTTGGAGGTGCAAGACGATTAGGATCATAACTAAGCGCCTGTGCACGTATCGGCACAGAGGGTGGAGGAGTTCCTGGGCGAAAACCGGGACGGAAAACGACTTGTTTTGAAATTTTCCGTTGATGCTTTGGTTGAGGCTGAGTTTGTTTAGGTTGTGGGGGATTCCTTGTGTTTCTCGGATTTCTTCTCGAACCCCTGTCTTCCTCACAACTTGAACCAAAGTTTGGTTCCATAATTTGTCTCCGTCGCCGTCGTTGTGATTTTCTTGTTGGCCAACGAAATTGATAAGAAATTAGGGGTGAGGAGTGGTCAGAGGAGACAGAAAGTGGTGTTGGGGGTGGGGAATTTTTGCCGGATGATTTCATTGGCTCGGTATAATTAGTGGAATTAATAAAGGGAATTTAAAGGGAAATAAAATAATATTAGTAATTTTTTGGAAGAAAATTTGGGGAAGAATTTATATAAAAAATAAAAGGAAAAAATATTTTTTTGGAAGAAAACTGATTTTAGCTTGTTTTTGATTTAATCGATGGATTAAGCTTAAAATAACAACTGTTTTTCTAAACAGTTTTTAATTAAAAATGGAAGGGAAAAAATTTTTTTCTTATAATTTGCCTGAATATTTGGATCGAAGGATATTCGATGCCTCATTGTATGTTGCTGTCTCCCTCCAATAATTAAGGCTGGGGGAGGAAGTTGTTCTTGTTGCTGTTGTTGTTCTGATAGGGGAGATGTGGAGGAGGAACATTGAGGGTCTAATATAGCTATTGGTTGACGGGAAGTTCTCATTATTTAAAATATGAGAAGCTATTCCAGAGATTAATTTTAAAAAATATTCGCAAGTGTCATTCAATGGACCTTTAAAGCCTTTTAGATCTTTTAAGCTTAAAATTTATTATTTCTCTTGTAATTTTTAGGGTTGGGGGCGCGGTCGGCCCGGTCCGAAAGATAGAGTCGGGCATCGAATTTGGCCCGAAAAAGACTCGGTCGCGGCCCGATCCGGCCCGGGCCTGGAAAGAAATGACTCGAACGGGCCGGCCGACTCGAAACCCCCAACCCTTGTAATCCTGTCTCTAAGGCCTTAATTCTATACGATATCCAATTTATTTTTGTTCTTGTAAGTCTATAAAGACCAGTGTCAACTCTAGCCTAGTTGATCAACTAGTCTGGTTAGTCCTTGAAGTTAGTCCTTGTCTTAATCCTTCGCTGATCAAGCCCAATCCCACCCTCACTTACATTGTATTTCTACTCGGGATTAAGTATTAAGTCTTGGAGAAACCCTCGGACATAGCAATAAAAAAAGTAAAGAAATAAGGTATATTTTAAGATATTTATGGTCCATTAGCTTTTAAAGCATGAAAATAAAAAGCAGTTTTTATTTATTGCTTTATTAAAGTTTTATAAAATGGAAAAAAGAGAATTTGAGTGAATAAATATTTTGTTGTTGTCATAAAACAAAGATGATAAAAGGGTTTTTGTGGTCTGACCGATTGAGATTGTGGATAGAAAATAAATAAGCAACTGACTCTAAAAGAAAATGAGGATTGGAGGAAAGGGGATTAAGGTAGAGGGAAATCAAGCAAAAATGAGAGAAGAGGATTTGAAAGAGGGAGGGGGGAGGTAATAAATTTTGGGATTATAACTAAATATAGTAATTTAGATTTATAGGCAACCCCCCATAAAACCCTCATATGTAAACCCCCATATAAGGAACCTCCATTTAAAAGCCTTATCCCTTTATATAGAGCTTAGGGCATAAAAAGAAAATAAGCTGTAATTAAACTTTTGGCCTTAACATAAAAAAATTTCTGAATAAAGTAAAAAATTATGAAAGAAAAAGCACTCAAGAAATAGTCACGCAATAATATGTAGTGTAAATATTTTTGAGGGAGATTTTTTTGAGAAAATATTTTTTTAAAATAATTAATATCCAAAAATGTTAACTTGCTAATATTTTTACGACGATAAATTTTAAGTTTAAACTTAAAAGTTGCAAACTTTTTAAGTTTGAACTTGAAAACTTTTTTAGAAAATAAACTTACATTCCCTCCTGTATTTGAATTTTCTGTAGTTGGGAGTTGTAAGTTGTGCATTCTTATACGGCTCATAAAATTTTGTCGACCCATACCTCCTTGAAAAGGAAGCAGAATAGGAGGAGCAACAGATTCTTGTTGTGGGACGATTAGAGACATTTTAAATATTTTTTTTCAGGAATTATTTTTTAAAGCCTTAAAAATAGTAAAACTTGAATTTTTGAGCTTGTCTAGTGATGTTCGAGACTCTCGGTTTCGGTTCCCGAGTAGGGAAATTTCCCGGGTTTTTTGAGCTCTAAGTCTCGTGGTTGATTCCCGGTCTCGATAAGAGAGCTCTCGGTCTCGTGGTTGATTTTTGGTCTCGGTTTCGACTTTCGGCTTTTTTACCTCCCGAACATCACTAAGCAAAATTAGAATTTCTTGAGCCAGTCTAGTGCTTGCTAATAATTGGGATTATTAATAATAATCCCAATTTCACGAAAAATAATTTTTTCATCAAAAATTCTTGTTTCTGCGCGTTCATCAATCAACTTCCTAAAAATTAGTAAAATCCCAAGTCCATGAAAAATAAATTTTTTTCACCAAAAATTCATGATTCTGCGACTGTTTTTCCTCATAATTTCCAAAAAATTTAGTTTCCGGGGCTTATACAAGTCGATATATTTTTCAAAAAAAACAGCCTTGTTTTCAAGTAAAAATAAAATTTTAACAATAAAAAGACTACATTTTCAACTTTATTTTAAAAATAATTTTAATAAAGCATGCAATGTTTAATGAGGAGAAAATTAATAATAATGACCCTTGAGAGAAGAGTAACTTAAACAAAAACAAAAATAGTCCTCCAATTTTTAAAAAAATAAAAAAAATATTTTTAAAAACCCAATAAATATTTGAAATATTTTTTGGAAATAAAAGTAAGCCTGAAAGTGGGGGAAGAAAAAAAACTAGCGGCGATTATGAACGACTCCCAAGGGATGAGGAGGTATTTTGGAGATGAATGGGAGATATATAAAGGAAAAATAGGGGAAAGACTTTAAGCTAATCGAAGGTTTTTTTAAAAGTTTTTTTATATTTTAAGGGATTTTATAGTTGAGGTAATAATACAATTTTTCTAAAAACCAGATGATACATATATGGATATAAATATGGGTATACATAAATATTGAGGTTGTAAGCAGTGCTGGGTATGGTTCTGGAGTTAAGATTTTAAAAGCCCGGAGCCAGGAGTTTGAAAGCTCAGGGCCGGAGCCAACAAATGGCAAATATCCAGCACTGGTTGTAAGACAAAAGGAATCTTCCTAGAGGTTGTAAGATAAAAATACATCACACGTTCGTCGTTGAAACCAACTAAATACCCAACATTTTGGATTTCATGCTTGTGCACCAACAACCTAACTAACACACAATAATCTTAAATCTTCAACTAAAAACCGCATCTAAAAAAGCTTTAAAGACGCGGATCTACAATTCCTAGAACAAAATCTAAACATCGCTCAAGACCCTCGCAGTATCAAAACTAACTACCAAGTTGAACACGTAGTTGTACGTGTTGTAAGAATTTTTGTACGAGCGCTCCTCTCAATAATAAAATAAAAGATCGAGAGGACTTGAAAATTTCAACCAGAAAATTTTTTTTGAATTTCCATTTCTATAAACTATCCAAAAAATTAAAAAAGTATCTCTCACTCTTTTCTAGACGCCCTTAAAAAATTATCGATGATTGAATGTCGGAAATCGAGAAAAGGAGATGCACTTAGAGAATTAAAACATAGTTTTTAAAAAAATATAAAAAAAATCATAAAAATTATTGACAAAATTTTAAAAATATGAAAGAGTCGGCAAGATAAAAATAAAAATTTTGTCTTAAAATAAATTAAAAAATTAAGAGGAGGTAAGTGTATATGGCCAAAAAAGGTCCTTTATTAAAGTCTATCAGTCGGCTAATTTTCCTTGTAAAATTAATTATTTTTAAAAAATTAAATTTTTAAAATGTTTAAATTTTTATTTTGTATTTTATTTGTTTTAATTTTTATTGAAATTAATTTAATAAACGGGGAAAAGGAGTGTAACTGTTCTGCTACTGATAAATGGGAGGTACTTGTAAAAGGGGGTCGCTTTAAAAGGGGCGCAAAAATAAGTGCAAATTGTAGCTGTATAGGAAAGGGTGAAGAAAGTAGTGAAGAAGAGGAAGGAAATGAAGGAAGAAGTGAGGGAAGAGGTGAAGGAAGAAGAGAGGGAAGAATTGAGGGAAGAGGTGAGGGAAGAAGTGAAGGAAGAAGTGAGGGAAGAAGTGAGGGAAGAAGTGAAGGAAGAAGTGAGGGAAGAAGTGAAGGAAGAAGACAAATACCAATCGGAATGGAAGGAGGAGGAAGAAGAGAGGAACAAATGAAGAGGATGGAAGAAATATTTGAAGAAATAGGAGGAGGAGTACAAAGACGATCAAGAAGTTTAGAAAGAGGAGAAGGAATAGAACGATTGAGAGAAAGAGGAGGAAGTCTAGGAAGAGATGGAAGAATAATCGGAAAGGCAAGAGGAAGAGAAGTTGAAGATTTCGAAGGAAGTGGCTATGAAGAGAGTTCTAGTCGGCGTAAAGGGAAACAAAAAGTAGGGGAAAGTTCAACGAAAAATGGAAAAACTAAAAGTGTTTTGTACATTTGCGATAATTATTACTACTCGCACGTACAATTTAATGTAAATACAATTTAATATTTAAAAACTGAATCTCGTTAAAAGTTTGGTCACATAGCCACTTAGCAGCGTCTTACGCGAGAGTTGGCCAATAACGAGATTTCAGGTCGGGATTCTGATTTCCGACTTCCGACGTTTTTTTCCTTCCGATTTCCGAAAAAATTTTAATTTCCGATTTCCGACTTTTGAGCCAGTTCCGATTTTTTGAGCCAGTTTCGATTTCCGACACCTCTGACTGTTCCGACCCACCTCTGGTCTGTTCTGATACGCTTATAACGAGAGTTAACTTTAATATATTTTAATATAACTAAAAGGATAATTTTTTAGTTATGGCTGGCACAGATATTGTCGGAGAAATACAATGTGGTAGGGATTTTCGTAGAGTTACTATGGCTAGCACAAATATGGATGTTGATAAAGGAGCAAAAAATTATTTTGTTCAGCCATAACTCTCCGGGATTTTTCGCTAAATCAAATAAGATATCTCCTCTCCATTTCCCCTCACAACTTAACTCATTTTAAGTGTTCGGCAAATGGTTATTTTCGGTAACGGTAATACCGAGATATACGGATCGGTATTATTAATCGTGCAGTATTACTGTACCGTTCTAAACACTGCTCTTTCCCCTTATCTTTTTTGTCCGCAAAACATGGGGGCATAAGACTATGTGGGCATTTGTGGGCATAATATTAGATTGAACTCCTTCCAAGTTGGATTTTCCTCCTTTTTATTTTAGTAAATCCTTTTATTTTATTTAAAAGAATATGCATGTTTATATGAGAGATGGAGGGCAACCTTTGGAATCTAAAGATTTCGAATTTAATTTTGAAATTACTTATATCCCAATAAATAAATGGAAATTGGATAACAATAGCAGAGATCCTTTTGGTGATTTTAAAGGAACAAAAGATTATTTTGTTGTCGGAATTTATGAAGGTAGGGAAAAATTTGTGAAAATTGTTTTGAAATATTTTTTTAAAATATCCTTGTAAACCGTAAAAGTAAGTGGTGAGTATTAGCGTGCTAACTGGGAATCGAGATGGAGATAACCGTGATTTTTGATCAAGATCTCGTCTTGATCCGATCTCTAGTGAGTAAACGCTTTGAGAGACCTGAAATTCAGTAAGTGAGAGGTAAGGCCTCAGGCAGAAATCTACCTGGCTGACTGAGCTAACGAGGTGATCTTCTCTTTTAATAATCTTCCTCTCTCTCTTCTTCCTCTCTCTCACTCTTCCTTCTCCTTTACTCTCTCTCTCCCTTCTTTTAAAAAAACAATTTCAGAATTTTGTAGGGATAATCACCAAGATTTTCCCAGTTCCAGAAACCGGTTACAGGAACCTGAACACCTTCGAAAACCTGGAATCGTCAGGGAAACGTTTGAATTTTATGACATGGAGAACGCTGATACTCGCCTTGAAAAGATTTTTCTAATTTTCTAATTTTTAAAATTTAGAGGTAATCAAAGACCATAAAACTTTTACTGATCTGTATCAACAAGGATATGATATTGGAATAGCAGAGTTTAACGTTATGGCTGGAGCTTTTGCTTTATTTGAAGCATTAAACATTAAAAATACTTTTAATGTTTCTGCTTCGATTTTACTTCCATCATATCTACAGTTTCTGAATATTAATGTTGTTAGAGATCTTCCTGGCTATATTCCTGGTTATATTTTTAAAAATTTAAAATTTAGGGCTGTAACTTGTGATTAAGATCCGAGAAAAGTCAGGATATCAGGGGATCTCGCAGGATCCGCTAATCCTCTATAAAGATGTTAAATCTTGGGTTCTTTCTTCCTGTAACAAAAGTTTTTGTGAGCAGTGTTTGGAAGCTCCTACCTAAAATTCGTACTCGTACCTGATTACGAAGTAAAAAATAAGGGGGATGCTGGTTCGCTCCCAGCCGCCGAATAACCTTTTGCCTAGCTGAAGGAGAGAACTAGCTATAGCCCAGCTGCTTTACCCTTTAACTATGACCTGTATTCAATATACTCCTCATTATGAGATAAAAATTTTCACCCAAAAGGGGATATCTATAGACGAGACTCACTTGTATTTTTAAATTTAAAAAATATTTTTTTAAGAATTCTATTTCCCCGAACCAAACGATTGGATAAAAATAGACGGTATGTGGCGAATAAAAAGTCATAGAGTTTTTGAAAATATGACAAAACATAGTGATCAAAATAAAGAAATAAAAGAATTATTTGAATATTCTACTGGATATTTTCAAAAAATATTTTGGGGGCAAAGAAATTTTAACTTGCCTTCAACTTTGGATGTTTTATTTAAAAATATTAAATATCATTTTATAAATCAACATCCTCTCGGAAATTTTGAAAATTATCCCGATCACGAGAAAGTTGGTTATATTGGTGGTATTGTTGTTGAAGGCAAAGGAATTTTAACAAAACCTAAAATAATAGATAAAGATGAGGTAATAAAGAAAAATTTTTTAAAATTAATTTTTAGAGTTAGAGGGATCAACTAAAATATGGATATATTTATATGAGTTTTCCAATCTTATTCAGAATCCCAATACCTGCCAACTTTTGTTAAAAGTATGGTAGCACTCTTTGACACTCATTCGGGGGCGGGAGTGTCGGGGATTTGAGTTCGCCGGGGTATGTCCTTCGGGGTTCGGGTCGAGGTTTTGCCTCCTCGGGGGTGGTCGCCGGGGATCGGTTTGTTGGAGTAGAGCCTTCGGGGTCTGGGTCAGTGTTTTTGTTAAAATACATGCCAAACCCTTAGGTTATAATGGTACATCCTTTGTATCTTTATATTTTAAGAGCTCATGTGTTGTTCTCGTCACATTTGGAACGGCTATTGTACCTTTTAGAAGAGACCAACTATATATTGAGACAATGTTTTATGTGTTTGAACGTTTCTCACAATGTACCTTTAAAGTTCGCATACGAACAACCAAAGTGTCTTATAATAATATTGAAATTTACCCAAAAGAAAAATTTTTACCACAACAAGAAATATTGGCTAAAGCAAACACAAAATTGCTTGTTAGCCATTGTGGACAGAATAGTTTAAATGAGGTATAGTTTGAGACATACCTCTATCAAGAAAATATCAGGATATCCCAATTAGATAACCCAATAACGGATAACCTCAATTTAAGGCATTGGTTGGAAACTAAATAAGGAATTGCCTAAATAAATAGGTTCTCCGTCTTCTGTTTTTATAGAGGTGGATGGATCCCCCTATTGCCTTTTATTTAAGATAACTCCCATTACAATTTACGGCTCAAAGGGAATAACAATGTGAGATTAACTGATAAAAGGATAAAAATTAGAGAGCAAGATTTTTGAAAAACCTTGATCCTTGACCTTGATTTCAGTTGGGTATCTTAACCAAATTCTTGACCTTGAGTCAAGGAAAATCAAGATATGGACTCTGAATTCGAATTGATATGGACTCTGAAAAATGCCTTGATATGGACTCTGGATCCAGTAAAAATCAAGGTCTGGATCCAGATCCAGCTCGCTCTCTACTAAAAATACTTTTCAGATTTAATCTCTCTTATTGTCTCTAGTATTAAATAAAAGTGTAACACGTAAAGTTACAAAAAAAAACTTTTTTCTTTAGGCAATGTATGCCGGAGTTCCTATAATTTGTATTCCGGACGGAGGTGATCAATTCTACAATGCCTCCATTGTTGAACAGTTGGGGATTGGAATTTATATTAAAGTGGATTATGTTTATAGAAATTATGAAAATTTTGGACGTTCTTTGTTTCACTCCATCCGAGATATTTTGAATCAGTTTAGTTTTGAAAATTAAATGAAAAATTAAAATTAATCTTTTAGTCCCAACAAATACCATCAAAACAAGGCAGAAGAGCAGAGAGAAAATATTTTAAGCATTAATGAATCAAGAAAAAAATTTTTCCTTGAAACAATTGCTAAATCTATTCGTCGAAAAAGAGGAGGGAATTAATTTTTTGGGATGATTGCTTCTATTCTTGATTGATATTAATGATGGGAAAATTCAAGAAAATTAAATTTTGGGATGGGATTTAGACTAGCTTAAATTATATTTTAAAAATTATTTTTTAATTGTAGATTAATTAGATTAAATATAGTGGCACGCGGACATATCGGGACGGACATATCGGGATATTTCAATGTATAAACAGTTATCCTACTGATTTCGGGACCTACGACCACTGGACCTTGGATAGTATATTGTTATTGAGGAATAGTGTTTTTATGTTTTAGAACAGACATAAACACGCAAGAAATTATTTTTGTCACACCAATCCCGATATGTCTCCCGATATTCCGCACACCAATATAGTTATTAGAGGTCGGCACGGGACAGGAGGGATTTTACGGGATCCTTTCCGGAAATCCCGTGTTTTACGCGATGCACGGGGGTTTTACGTGATTTACGCGATCCCGCGGGATCATGCCCCGCAAAAATTTTTTATAAAAAATCCCGTTCGGGATCCAGGGACTTCGATCTTACCGCCCTCTAATTGTTATTGACCAAGAGTCTAGCCGACCCAATTTTCGAAATTGAAAATTTATTTTATTTGGATAAATTATTGTTATTGGCTAGAAAATTTTTTATTTGAATAAAAAATTTAAAAAAATATTTTTGGTGTGCTTTCTAAACGATTTGCCCCTGGGATTTAACCGGTGTATTTGGAAGTAGCGTGTTTTCAGGGACAGAGATGTTACGGGTTACATGAAACCCGGACTTTTCTTGACACGAACCCGACCCGAAACCCAAATTTTTTATCAATTCGAGACATTGCTGATCAGTGAGACAAGCAGTAGTGATTTAGTTTACTTATCTATAAAAATATTAAAAAAAACTAGCGATGGGTTTACCACTGATGGCGGCGGATAGCTGAATGGCGGTAAAATTTTGGGAGGCGGTTAAATTTTTCTCTGCCCGTTGGAAAGCCTAACGGCTTTGGGGGCGCGCTTCGCGCGCCGCTAGCGATTTTTTATGCCTGGAACAAAAGATTAGCCTTCATTGGGACTCATCCTTCCACTTAGAGTCACTTCGGGCCTTCGGCCATGTCTTCCCCTCATTTTCCCTCGATTGGACTCATCCTTCCACGTAGAGCACTTCGGGCCTTTGGCCCTCGTCTTCCCCTCATTTTCCCTCGATTGGACTCATCCTTCCACGTAGAGCACTTCGGGCCTTCGGCCCTCGTCTTCCCCTCATGGCCTTGCCCTCTCTTTTAGATGGGTGTCTTTTTCTTGACACGAACCCGACCCGAAACCCAAATTTTTTATCAATTCGAGACATTGCTGATCAGTGAGACAAGCAGTAGTGATTTAGTTTACTTATCTATAAAAATATTAAAAAAAAATATCCTTTCAATCTATTTTCTCTCTATTAACAGTAAAAATAGCGAATAATTCAAGCACCAAAAAGTCCATTAAAATGATTGCGACAAACCGGGTCGTTTCAAAATTTTCAGAAATTTTCCAAAAAAAGTCGAACAGCTGGTTTTTTTTTAATTTCTGTCCTATTTTTTATTTTTTTTTAATTTTAAAAATTTTTAGAATGACCATTAGCCAATTATACAAAAAAGTATTATCATCTTCCTATAATTTCAAACTCGTGCCTCGCTCTACGCTGCGAACTTTTGAGAGGATGAGAAGTTTTTTTTTGATTTTTAAAAATTTTTTAAATTTTTTGACAGATTTTTCGGTAATTCTGGCTGCCACATCCTTTTTATATTTCCCTGACCATTTTGAGTCTTTTTGCTAGACATATAATAATTTATATTTCATTCGAAAGAGCTGTCCGTTTCCGTTCTGTCCAATGATGTAAGTCAGATTTTGATGATTTTAGTGCCGTTCGACTCTGCTTGAAGAGCTCTTTCGAATGTATATAAGAAAATTTCATAGAAAATTTGATAGAAAATGAAAAAAAATAGAACATAAACGAAAGGGGGCGTCAGCCGAAGTGGCGTCAACCGCTTTTTCTTTTCTCTAGTTGATCCGAACACTCCAAAAATCAAATTAAATAATGCAGCTACGCCAGAAACAACGGCAACCAACAATTTACCAAAATTGCCAGTTCCCCAGTTGGAGCACACAATCGAAAAATTTTTGAAATTTTGTAAGCCGATACTTGGACCTGAAGATTATGGAGAGACTTTAAAGGTTTGTTTAATTTAAAATTTAATTTAGAAATTTTGTAGGTTGCTAATGAGTTTAAGGAAAGCATCGAAGCAAAACAGTTGCAAAAAATGCTGGAGAGAAGAGCTCAAAAACTGGATAATTGGGTTTGTTTAGATTGTTTTTAAATGAAAAAATTATTTTTGGGTTTATAAGACTATAGCAACAAGCAAGCGTTGAAAGACGCTGCTATTTTCTTAAAAAATGTGTCTTCAGTAGTGATCGAGCGTCTGGACCAAGGCCTGTGTTTTTATTGTACCCAGAGTCCATAAAAAGGCACGGGCTTTTCTTACTTCGATCACTAGACTTCACATGATGAAAATCGCAAAATGGGTGGAGCACATACCTTCTTACCCATATCATTCTAGCTTTAGTTATTCTAGAGTTTTGCTTGAGATTCAAATTTTTATAATTAATTGAGTAAATTTTAAATTCGGGATGGAGGGGTTAAAATGTCAAAATTAAACAAATTTTTTCTTTTAAAGTTAACTCCTTGGTGGTTAGATATTGCCTACTTATCAGCTAGAACACCACTTCCCGTCATTACCAGTCCTGGCGTTACTTTTCCATATTCTGTTTCTGGAAGAGACGAGGTGATTGACTTGGCTGCAAAAATTATTCAATCGGCACTTTTGTTTCATCACAAAATTTTGACGTTAATTTTATTTTTAAAATTATTTTATAAACCTTTTTTAATTGTCATTTCCTGGTCTACCTTTTTTCCTCCTCAATTTTTTTCACACCGACTCGATCCCCGAAAAACAGGAATTCCCGTCGGTTTTTTGGTCGGGATCTCTATTTCCGGAAATCGTGAATTTAATTTTTATGTCGGCTAGATCCTGATTTTTCCTCCCCAAGTTTCCTGATATGTACATAATGGTCAGACTTTTTCCTTTCTTCCATCCCAATTGCCGTTTCTATATTTTGCCTACAAACAATCAAAAGGGTTATTTTTTATTCAGTTCTTTCGCAAATAAGATCTGAATTTTGATTGTTTGTAAGCAAAATATAGAAAGACAAATTGGGATGCAAGGGTGTATCAAAGTGTCAGTTTCGAGGGGCTAACATTGGGTGTGCGCCATTGTTGGGGTGGAAGTAATGAAAAAGTCTGACCATTTTGTACATATATAAGAAAAATTTTGGGATGAAAAAAGGGACCTGAAAATGACACTATTACCCACCTTTTTTAAGAAACGATTTGGCTCCAGATAAAGGACACGGTCACGTTTTATTTGACATGGAACAATACAAACTTTTATTTGGAACTACAAGAATACCCAAATTAAGAAAAGATGAAATACGCTATGGAAAAGACCAAAAGATATGGGCTGAATATATTTTGGTTATGTGGCGTGGAAATGTTTGTTTAGTTTTTTTAAATTTTTTTTTAATTTAAAAATTTTGGAAAAAAATATTGGCGGTGAAAAAAAAATTTTTTTTGGAAATTTTTTTCTTAGGGAATTTTTTGAATTTAAAATTTTTTAAATATTTGGCTATTTTTGGGGATTAACATTTTCATCAATTTTATTTTGGGAAATTCTAGCTCCTTTGGACTTTTTTTGGAATTTTTCAAAAATTTCTCAAAATTTCTAAAAAATTTCTTTTTAAAATTTTTTTTTTCAGATTTTTAAAGTTTCTGTTTGTGACGATGCTGGTAGAATTCTGAGCATTACCCAGCTAAAAAAGGAATTGGATCGAATTATGCGAAGTGTATTTTCTCCAAATACTCAGGCGATAAATATTGTGTCTAGTACTGATCGTGATACATGGGCAGAAGTTTATGCGAGGGTTAAAGGTTTTTAAAGTTTATTTTAATTTACTCTAAACTTGTTTTTTTGTTCTTTCTTTTTGGACGTAGTTTAAAAAAACCATGTCCATGCCAAAAAAGGTCTTTGATAGTAGAGATCGCGAGTTTTGAAAATCCTGGGCTTGTTATTGGGTCCTGGGTTCGATTTATTGACCTGGGCCAAATCTTAGGTTTTTAGTCTAGGAAAACCCCCAGCAAGGTCAAAAAATGCCTTGGCCTGGACTCTGGGTACAGGAAAACCCCGGGCTTTGGTCCAGACCCAGTTCGACAGCCCAGTCGGTACCGTACTACCGACGGTATTTTTCATTATTTCGTACTGTTCTGCGGTACGGTTACGAAAATTTTGGCTCTAATTTAAATATTTTTAGAAAACAATCCTGAAAGTATTAAAATTATGGAAGACTCTCTTTTCATCATGTGCCTAGACGAATCAGATAAACCATATGAAAATGAAAAACTTAAGAATGCTCAGGACGAGAATATGTCAATGGCACTACACGGAGGTGGAGCTAACAAAAATTCAAGAAATCGTTGGTTTGATAAAACGTTGCAGGTTTTCTTTGAAATTAAAAAAATTTCTGAATTTTTGTTTAGTTTTATGTTAACGAGAATGGTTATGCTGGTATAACTTATGAACACACACCAGCAGAGGGACCTCCACTTGCTCGCCTTTTAGATTTTATTTGTGATCAAATGTAAGGGTTTTTGTCTGAAAATTGGAGAAAAAATGAAATTTTTTTTGAATTTTTAGAGATGCCAACAATTTCGAATTAGACTCTGGCCAACCTCTATTACCTCCTCAACATATAAAGTTTAAATTAGAATTGAAGGATGCTGTAGAAATAGGAAGAGCAGAAGAGAAATTAGAAAGGTTTTAATTTTTGTGGTTCTAGACTGTTAAGCTTTATTGGGTAATTTTTAAGTTGTTTCTTTTTTGCCCAATGGTGTTGAAAGTAAGGCACGAAATAATAATCTTGGGATATTTTTTTCGAGATTATTTATCTTGAGCAGGGTTGTCAGTTTCAACCCGAACCGAAAACCCGAAGATTTTCGCTTCGGTTTGTCGGATCGGTTTCGGTTAACCGAAGAATTTGGTGAAACCGACAACCCTTCCTGAGTCTTAACTATCAAAAAATTTTTTTTGAGAATTTTGAAACTCTTTTAAATTATAACAACACTCTTTCCTTATCTCCTATCTTGTTGCTATTCCATTTTTTAATTATTCTAAACCATTCTTAAAATTAAAAAAATTTTTTTAGAGTTGTACAAAACCTTGAAGTCAAGTCCTTAGCCTTCAATGCTTATGGCAAAAATGTTCCTAAACGCTCGCAGCTCTCTCCAGATTCTTGGATTCAATTAGCCTTACAAATTGCACATTATCGACTACACAAAATTCATCCACCAACTTATGAGACTGGAACTTTGAGAAAATTTGCGGAAGGCAGAACTGACACAATTCGTCTTCCTACAACAGAATCTGTTGCTTTTGTGGAAGAAATAACTGCTAGACCCAGAAGAATGAGCGACAATGTTTTGTTGACTTTATTGGAAGCGGCAATAGATAAACATAAAAAATATTCGTTGGATGTTATGGAAGGTTTGGGAATTTTTGAGAATTTTTAAAATTTATTTTTAAAGGTAATGGAATTGATAGACATTTATTGGGATTAAAATTGGCTTCATTAGAAGATGGATGGCGGCCTATTCCTCAAATTTTTAATTCAATTGGTTATCAAAAATTGATGCATTTTAAGTTGAGTACATCACAAGTACCAACAAAACATGTTCTTCCAATGGGTTTATTTTTTTAATTTGTTAGATAAGTTAAGTGGAGGTGGGGCTGGGTGTTAGGGTGTTTTATAGTTCTTGTTTTAGTCGTAAACTTTGAAGCCCTATGACTTTTCGAAATGGGGGTCAGGGCAAATAAAAGCCAAAAACTAGCAATAGTAAACCGACCACGCTTTACACGATGGTGTGTTACATAGCAAATTTTTTGGTGATAGTTCGCGGTGGTCCCTTGTCAGGCCAGAGCTTGCTCTGAAGCCTTACCTAACTTTTCCTGTTACGGAACATTCCAATTCTTTCAATCCTTAAGAGAGCTGTTTGTGTTTGGTTAAGAGCCGGGTTTGCGGACCAAAGAACAATAAAAAAGCCTTAAAATCTTTTGACTCGTCCTTAGGTCCAACGAGTCTTTCTTTCGACTAGTCTTTGAGTCCATATTTATTCTTTGTTCATACGTCCTTTTATCAATGAATCTATAAAATTTAAATTTATAGGTTTCGGTCCGTCAGCACCAGATTGTTATGGAGTTTGTTACAATCCACAAGAACACAAAATATTTTTTACAATAACAGCTTTTAATGAATGTAAAGAAACTAGTGCTGAAAGGTTTTTTTAAATATTTATTAAAAATTTTGTGGTTCTTTTTAGATTTTCTAAGGAATTAGAAACCGCGCTGTTAGATATGCATGATTTAGTTGAAAGAACGGGTAGACTGAAAGAGAAATCAAAATTGTAACAAAATGGTTTATCAATTATTGAGGGATTAAAAGATGACTTTTTATTTAGCCTTAAATTCAAGGGCGGTTTTAGGTCGGAAAGGATTTTTTAGGTCTACCCACTCGATTTCTTAAAATCGAGTGGGTCTTTAGAAACCGCCTTCATATTTACACAGATATAGTTTTTTTGTACTTCTTTGATTTTGTAGTTCCTATTAGAGATCGACCTGGGTCTGGACCAAGGCCTGGGTTTTTCCTGTACCCAGAGTCCAGGCATTTTTGACCTTCCTGGGTTTTTTCCTGGACTGGGGGTTTTTCCTAAATTACTGGCCCAGGATCCGGCCCATGTCAATAAATCAAACTCCAGAGTTCAGAAACAGGTCCAGGCTTTTCAAAATTTCCGATCTCTAGCACCTATGTATAATTTCAAAAATTTGCCTATATTTTCTCGTTGCCTCAACGCCTCATAGACTTTTAAAGTTTTCATAATATAAATTGAATTTCATTTTTTAAATTTATTTTGAAAAGTGGTTTTATTAACCCATGTTCTCTTTAAAATCTTTTCAAAAATTATTATTATTTAAGCAAATTAAAAAAAGAAAATGAGTGGGCAAGACATTGATGTTGACAGTAATGACAAGGAACGATTAATGGGCGGGTGTGAAGGCCCAAATGCTGCTTATGTAAAATTGGTTAGCAGTGATGGACACGAATTTTTTGTTCGAAAGGTTTCTTAAAAATAGGAAAAATTTTAAAAATTGTTTTTAGGATCACGCTTTAATTTCTCATACAATTCGTGCAATGCTTTCTGGACCGGGACAGTATGCTGAAAATGAGACGAATGAAGTTAATTTCAGAGAGATTCCGTCTCATGTGCTGCAAAAAGTGTGCCATTATTTTGCATATAAAACAAAATATACAAACAGTGCTACGGAAATACCGGTTTGAATTTTTCTAATAATCTAATTTTGGAGTGACTAAAAAGAAGTATCTTTTGGAGAGACTTTTCTAGACTAAAAAACAAATTCGAGTGGTCTTAAAGTTTGTTGGTATTGCCCCAGGGGGTCTAGTAATATGAAAATTTTCTTGAAGAGATAAATATTTGGGAAAATCATAAAAATAAATAAAATTAGGAATTTAGATCCATTCCCTCTTGGATTTTCTGATTTTTATGAATTAAACTAAAGACTGTTGATTCACTATGGGACCTAACGGATAGAAAAATTACACCCTATTACGCTTGAATAATCCAACAATAAGAAGAAATATTTTTGCAGGAATTTCATGTGGCTCCGGAACTGGCTTTAGAATTATTAATGGCTGCCAACTTTTTGGATTGTTAAGTAAAATATTCTTTAAAAAGTTCATTTTTTTATAAAAATTTACAAAATAAACGAATTACAGACAAAATTTCCAACTTTTTCATTTTTTGAATTAAATTTTCTAATTTTTTGGTCTGAACCTTTAAAAGCTATTGGAAAATGTGCAGAATTGTGGAAAGCGTAAAGTGTCGAAATTTTGTTAGATTGAACAGCTGCGATTCCTCCCAACAAAAGGTAGCTGACTGGGAATGTTTGTAGTCTTTTTGATTTTAAAAAAGATTCTCCTTCTAGAAAATTTTTTATTTTTTCTGGTAAAAATAGGTCATCCAAAGCGCTAAAAATTCAAAAAAAAATTTTGAAAATTGAAAAATATTATCAAACTTTGAAAAGAAAAATTCTGCAATTATTTCAGCCATATGTGTTCTAATTAAAGTCTCACCACACCCAGAAAGTGAAATTGCTATAGAGGCTTTTTCACGTTTTTCAGCCCATATTGCAGCTCCAAATTGGGTAGAATGTCCTAAGCGACCTTCCTTTTTGAGAAGTATACCACCACTAGAAACCCCAGCTTCATAATAACCATTTTCCTGTAAAAAGATTTTTTAAAAAGATTTCTGTGATAGAACAGATTATCTAAAACAGGGTACCCCTAGATTTGCAGTTTAATATTTGCGGACAAGCCAGAGAAATCTGAATTTAGTCAAGCAGCCAATGTTAGGGCCAGGCCCGTAGCCAGGATTTTTTTTCGAGGGGGGGGAAATTTTTTTGCGCCAAATTTTTGGCGCCGAAGGCGCCAAAAATTTTTATTTTCAGCGCCGCAGGCGAAAATTTTGAGAATTTTAGAAGGCCGTAGGCCAAAAAAATTCACTTTTTCGGCGCCGCAGGCGCCAAAAATTTGATTTTCAGCGCCGCAGGCGAAAATTTTTTGAATTTTGGACCTAAAGAAGCCAGATTTCTTCTTTTTTAGCGCCGCAGGCGAAAATTTTTTAAATTTCAGAGGCCGTAGGCCAAAAAAATTCACTTTTTTTGCCCCAGCCCTTCCCCAAATTTTTTCCTTTTTCCCATTTCGGGGGGGGGGGGGGGGGGGGAATTCCCCCCCTCACCCCCCCCCTGGCTACGGGCCTGGTTAGGGCAATTATTAACTCTACTTATATTATCATTAAAAGTCTGCAATTCTCAGAAAAGTTTGTACCTGAGTTAAAACATAAGGCACCCCTCCCAAGAAAAAACCCCCAGACATGGGAATCCATTAAATATTCTTCACCTTTAATTAGATGAGCCTACATATTACCCTTAAAGTTAAATAATTTACTAACATCAATGAAAACACCTCCAGTTGTGTCAAGCCTTGAAACATCGTTCATGGAACATTCGTTCTGTTCAATATTGAATACTCTATTAATGGCCAAATTTCTGTCTCTTTTAGTCCTTTCTGTCCTCAAATTTTCATTCGAAACAATTCCAACATTTAAAGCCTCACAATATTGATTTGCGCCTTTTCCAACCAAAACTATAGGTTTTATCAAGCCATTCTCTTCTGAATCGGATTTATGTGACATTGAAAGTTTGTGTGCTGCATAAATTGGATGGGCACAATTTGTGACCTTAAAATTGTTTTTAAAATTTTTCTAAAAATTTATTTGCCGAGGCAACACCACCAAAAGCCAAATTTTCGGAACACATGAAAGCCCCTTCGCATTCTACAGTTCCCGCGTCAGTTAAATTTGAACCAAAACCGCAGTTGAATTTTGAACATTTTTCTAGTTTCTATAAACTATTGAACTATAAAAAATAAATTTAAGGGTTGTTGGAGAGAAATTTAACCCCGAAAATTCTTTTAGGAGGACTTCCCACAAACCCAGGGGTACCTGTTAATAATCAGTAACTTTAGCGGGTGTCCCACTCATTGTCAGTTCTACGAGCTCTTTCAAATGAACTATTGCTTATTCGAATGTTTTGACCATAAAAATGTGCTTACTCACCCTTATGGTTTTTCGATTTTTGAGAACCTATATCTCAGCTCGTAGGCATTTCTCCAGATAAATCGAATATGTAATTCGGCCCGTTTCTGAGTGGATCACCGGCTAAAGTACAGCCCACCCGCGCGTATGTTAGCCCAATGAAAATCAAAAGTGTACCACAACAAAATCCCAAGGTCCAATTCTATGTTTATATAAATATACCATGATTGCTTTGGCAAGTCGATTACCAACTTCAATTTCATCAGAAAAACCAGTCAAGTTATTCCCAGCCTTCCCCAATCCATCATCTTTTAAAGCTGTTGCACAAAATTGCTCTATTCCTTCCTTAAATAAACCGGCACCTCCATGCACAGCAATCATTTTAAAATTATTTATTAGTAAGTTAAAAAATCTTAAAAGACATTTCTAAAGTTTTATCAACCCATTTTCTAAAATTAAAATATTTTAAAAGCAAAAGATTTTATTAATTAAAATTTAAATAAAATGTACTTAAAAGAAAAATAAGACAAAACAGGTACTTTTCCGTTATCCCTACGGACTTTTTTTCCTTTCCTTTTTGCGGAGAAAGAAGACAAAAAATTTAAAAGAATATCGTTTTATGAACTAAATTGTTGTATGTCATACCGGAAAAAAATAAAAAAAATTGTCCGCAAATAATGGAAAAATAGTCAAAAAAATAAATTAAAAAGTCAATGCCAATAAATTATTTATCCACACCATCAACAATGTTTGACAGCACCAATTCCTCCTGAAATTATTTAAATAAATATACGTATTAATGGGTTAACCCTTACAATTAGTGTTAAATGAGGCAATGAACAGGGAGTAAAAAAATCCGAAATGATTTTCTCCAGAGAGAAAAAAATACTCGAAATAAAAATGGTCAAGGGGGGAAGCCAAAAAATTATCGAAAATGACATCAATGAAAAATTCAAAAACAATCTTAACATAAACTCCTTATTTTTCAAGGAGGACCCGTTTAAAGTCAAAATAATAAAAAAACCTCCTCCAATTCAGCTTGTAATTTGTGTTTTTCATCCTTAAGTTTTTCCTCATATTCTAAAAGAAGAGCACGTCGAGTTGGCCAAGTAACTTGTTTGAATGATTTGTGAAGGTCAACGTCGTCAGCAGCCGAAGAAGAACAAGGTTCATTGTCATCAACTTGTTCATCCAAACGAGCAAATTTTCCAGAAAACTGAAAAAAATTTATTTCAATAAATCGCCTAGCCAAAAAGTTAAAGGAAAGATGAGGCGGTAAAATCGAAATTCATCCCCTCCCCCTTCATTTTCCTCAAAATATTCTAAACGGTCAGATTTGAGGCCCTAATTTTTATAAACCAAAAGTAAACTAACGTTATATTTCTCGTCTGCCTTCTCCATTGATTTCTTTGAGAGCTTAGAAAAATGGTCCAAGGTGGCTTCTCTAATTTCTTTTGCTTTTTTTGGATCAAGAGTCAAATTTAAAGTTTTTTTAACATCATTAACCAAATGTTCTTCCCCTAACAAGCCACGACAAACTTCCTCAACCAAATTCTTTTGAAATTTATCTAAGCGTTCCATACTCATAAATAACTAAAAATAAGTTAAGACAATTTTTAAATAAAAAATAAAAATCCTACAAGATATAAAATGAAAAAAAAACGTGTCCGGTTAACTCATCTACTCGTTAACTCATCTACACGGCCAAAAACGTTCAACTCATCTAAACGGCTAAAATTCCTTAACTCATCTACACGGCCAAAAAGGGTAAACTCATCTACTCGTTAACTCATCTACACGGCCAAAAAGGGTTAACTCATCTAATCGTTAACTCATCTAATCCTTAACTCATCTACACGGCCAAAAAGGGTCAACTCATCCAATCCTTCGGAACGAGACTATTGAGTACCGGCCGTTTGAGTCTTTGGCCGTCTGAGTCTCTGGCCGTCTGAGTCTCTGGCCGTCTGAGTCTCTGGTAAGTTGAGTCCATGACCAGTTGATTCCATGGCCAGTTGAGTCCATGACCAGTTGAGTCCATGGCCAGTTGAGTCCATGACCAGTTGAGTCCATGGCCAGTTGAGTCCATGGCCAGTTGAGTCCATGACCAGTTGATTCCATGGCCAGTTGAGTCCATGACCAGTTGAGTCTCAACCGGCGGTACTCTACTGGCCATGGACTCAAACGGCCGGTACTCAATAGTCTCGTTCCGAAGGATTGGATGAGTTGACACTTTTTGGCCGTGTAGATGAGTTAAGGATTAGATGAGTTAACGATTAGATGAGTTAACCCTTTTTGGCCGTGTAGATGAGTTAAGGATTAGATGAGTTAACGATTAGATGAGTTAACTCTTTTTGGCCGTGTAGATGAGTTAACGAGTAGATGAGTTAACGATTAGATGAGTTGTATAGGAGCCAAAAAAAATCTTAAAGAAATTAAGCGTAAAATGTGTTAAAAATTAGATTTTGAAAAAAATTGCAATATAACATTTCCAACATAACATTTAACTTTTATATATATTTCATAATCTCTAAATTCAAAATGCCAACTAGAATAAATTTTGCCATTTTGACACAACTTAAAATGCTCAATTTTAGGGGCGGGGGATCATTGAGTCCCGCCGATTGAGTCCCGCCGTTTGAGTCCCGCCGGTTGAGTCCCGCCGGTTGAGTCCCGAGCCGTTTGAGTCCCAGCCGATTGAGTCCCGCCGGTTGAGTCCCCACCCAAATGGGGACGTTTGAGTCCCCGTGTTTATTTTTTGGATTTTTCATTGTTTTGTTCATTTTATCTAGGTTTCCACTAATTTTTTCAGCTAAATTAATTAATTAGTTGACCGGTCATCCACGCAAGTCCATCTGGACACTGAACTTTCTCAAGGAGGACGAGAATCTTGAGTTAGTAAAAATTTAATTGTTATTTTTTAATTTTAGATTTTATTTTTAAGGATGGCCCAAACTTTGCTCGTCACATGCCGGACTTCATCCCACGGCTGTAACGATGGAAAATTTGATAAGGTTTGGAATTTTTGTTTTGTTTTTCAAGTTTTTATTTTTAAAATTTTTTAGTTGATTTTCGTCAGTTTCTGACTGGCGATTTTCAAGTTCACAGTTTCTGAAGGAACGATGGTGTGAACTTAGGAGAACGTCGACAACAAAAACGAACCCAAACGGCCCTCCTTTTTCTCCTTAGGGCCACAAATTTAATAAGTGAAGCGTGACAAGACAATGGTTTTTTTAAATTTTTTTGATATAATTTTGATAAAATTTTTATAAAATATTTTTTTCATTTTTTCACATTTTTATTTTTTCCCGTATTGGGTAAATTCCGCCGTAGTCCGGAAATTAGGTATTACTTTTTTACGTTAGTAATTTAGATAGCGACCCTACCATCCGTAGCGGCACAAAAAGCTTTTCCAGCGAAGATTTTGTTGGTCATAACTTTGTTCAGAATCATTCAATCAAGCTGATTTTGATGTCATTCGACTCAGCTCACCGATCCCTTTCGAATGAGCTATCATTTGTATAGTAAAAATTTTTCACCCAAAATTGAATTTGATCCCCTTTTTTGCTTTTCAGGGTCTGTAACTCGTTTCCTGAATTCTGGATTGACTTAATATCACACCAGAATCTATTGATTATCCCCTTTAATTATTCTAAATGCAACTATATCCCTTTTAATCCCTCCAAATCCAAAAAATAAACACGGGGACTCAAACGTCCCCATTTGGGTGGGGACTCAACCGGCGGGACTCAATCGGCTGGGACTCAAATGGCTCGGGACTCAACCGGCGGGACTCAACCGGCGGGACTCAAACGGCGGGACTCAATCGGCGGGACTCAATGATCCTGTTCCGCAATTTTAGAACGGAAAAACTTTCATAATTTCTTATACTTGTTTTTTTCTCATTTTTTCTGAAAAAATTTTCTAAAATAATTTTTTTCTTTCAGTTTTAAAATGAGCACACAAGATTTATCTAAAGAACGTGTTTGTCCAATTTGTCTCCATCATTGGAACGATCCAACTGTTTTGGATAATTGTAACCATATATTTTGTTTTGATTGTATAATTGAATGGACTAGGTTATTTTTAAATTTTTGTTTGTTTAAATTTTATTTTTTAGACTTAAACCTGTTTGTCCATTGTGTAAGTGTTCTTTGGAATTGTTAAAACATCGTTTATGGGTCAACGATGCTGTTTTGCCAAATTGGGAGTCTGAAGGGCAAATGTAGCTTTTTTGCCTGATAATCTTTTATTCTTAAATTTAAGCGAAAATATAATGGAATTGCGAAGTGAATATGAATTGGAACGTTTAATGGAAAAATCTGCACGTCAACCAGAACATGAGAGACAAGCAGTTATTCATTTGGTTAAACATATGCTTGGAGAGTTGTATACTTTGCGAAATATGTCGATTACTACTTATGCGAGGTATAGGTTTTTTTTATTAAATACTTATGAAGATGGAGGTGCCCTTTCTGCGGACTTTTTTTGCGGACTTTTCTTCCCTTATTTAAATGTTTTACTTGTAGCAACTAATTGTCAACGCCCCTCCCACATTATTTTTCTTACCTAAGATTGTACATAATGGTCAGACTTTCTTCTCCTCTCTCCTGTCCCTATTTGCCCTCTGGCATATTCATACAAGAGACATTGATAAAGAGAAGATTAGTTTTATAGTCATACACTTATTTTTTGCCTTCGAAAACAATTTAAACAAAAAAAGAATTAAATAAAATTGATTTGGTGTATAACATTAAGAATTTCTGTGTAAAAACATTACATTCCTACTTACTTATATTTAAAAATATTGAACAACTGAAAAAATAAATTGAACTCAATATTGAACAACTCAATTAAAAATATTGAACAACTTAATTAATTTTTAATCTTCTCTTTATCAATGTCTATTGTCTGAATATCCACAACGCAAAATCTGACCATTTTGTACAATCTTAGGTAATAAAAATAATGGGGGGGGGGGCAATGTTTAAAAGTACCCGCATTTCTGTTCCACAATCACATGTTCTTTTTCTGTGAAGCATTCCGAGATCCGTGATCATTGTTGAAATTCAACATCGGGTAATTGAATTTTTATCATACAATTTAGTTAAAGTAAAATTTTTTATTGATTGTAACATTTTGCGGTTATAATGTTTAAAAAACACATATTTTTCAAACTGACATAAAAATTAATCCTTTGACAGTTAGTTGCTACCAGCAAAACTTTCTCAAAGCAAACAACCAAAACTTTAAAAAATACATTTAAAAGAAAGGAAGAAAAGTCCGCAAAAAAAGTCCGCAGAAAGGGCACCTCCATCTTCATAAGTACCAAAGGGTCGGCTTGGGAGTGGATCGCGAGTATTTTTAAATTAACAAGCATTTTTAAGTCACGGTCATTTTGTGAAATGCTACCTTGACGGTACTTATTTACTCCTCCCCCTCTCCTTCAGTCAATTTTTTTGGAAAATACATATATAAAATTGTCAGTCTGTCAAAAAATGCAGAACAGATCGAGCTGTGTCGAATGACACCATAATCAACAAAATCCGACTTGATTGGACCGAGATATAGTCTGATAAATGATGAAAAGTCTGGTAATTGATGAAAATGAACTTGAAAATCCGATGTATTTTTGAAATTTGACACAGCTTTTGGCTACTAATTATTACCCCTATTTTCTTTCTCTCGTTCCCACTTTAACATTAAATACGTTTAGTGATACAATCTTCAAAAATGCCATCGATGCCATTAATAAAGAGCTTGATGAATATAAAAAACTTCTTATTGCCTTTAACGATGGAGCTACAAGGTTTTTTTATAACTTTTAATTTTTACTGTTATTTCTTTAAAGGTCTGAATTATTCAAGACGCCGGCCTTTCGTCGAGTTGTTTATAAAGAAAATTTGTCGCCCAGTTCGATTTGTCAGCCTTTGTTTAACATTGCATTGAATGCTGATTATATAAAGAATAATAGGGTTTATTTTATTTTAATTTGTTCTAACAAGATTTTTTAAAGGATATTGTCATGAAACATATAACGCCTTTTGTGATTAGAGAAATTTGTGCTTTGACTAGAAAGGTTTATTTTTTAGTTTTTGGTTTATTAACAATAAGACTTCTTTGGAGGGGTTTTTCATTAAAGTGAATCTCTGGGGTTTGGGATTTTTATGAAAACTCGCTTCTCTTCCCTCTATAAAACATTAACAAAAATATTGACCCTTTTTTAGTCAAATATTTTCATTATTGTTTATACAAGGAAAGGTTGCGAGGTGTCCGACCTAAATCGGGCACCTCGGTTGCGAGGTCCGAACGAGATGTCGGACCTCTTGGCCAGATCAAAAACGGCACAAGATCCTTGCTAGTAAGAGTACATTCTCTATCGAATAAGCCCGGTCTCGACCGTTTTTAGGTCGAACACCTCGCAACCTCTCTGTGTTAATATAGCTTTCATTTCCTTTTTATCTACCTTGTTCGCCATTCTTTTTCCCGCTTATTTCCACGGGTTCTCTTTACCTATTAATATAATTCTCTTTTAAGGATGCTATTGACATTCATGTATATATGGAGAACATTATGGATTATTTCACAACCAAACTTAAACGGCAACAAATTGTTTCGTTTTTAAGTCGACGAGGAATAGAAAATCCACACCAATTTCTCAACAATCTTCTTCATTTTGCTTCGAGTGGTCAAACTTTGAAGGTCTATGACCAAAATTCGGAATATCGGTTTATTTGTTTTAAAAATGTTTATTTTATTTTTTGTAGTGTGCGTCGTTCAAATTATGTTGGTGATTTCTTTCCTGAAGATGATGATGTTTTGGTTTTAAATAGTAATGTTGATGTTGAAGTTCTTGGTCAAAGTAATAGTAATAATCGACGTCCTCAAAGCAATCATCAAAGTCCTGTTTCTATGGAAATACCCAATAATAATGCTTCACCGTTAGTTGTTTTCTGCTATTTTTATAGTGGTAGTCTTGTAATTTAAACAATTCCGACAAGCTAATGGGCGATAAATTAAGTTTACTTATTCAGTTCATTTGCTCTATTGTTAAGCTCAAGTTTCTCCATACTTTTGGTCTGAGAAATGTCTAGACTCAGAATTCTTTCGTCCCTTAGCTCTTGAACTATCAAAATATTTTTTAAGAAAAAAATCTTGGGGGAATACTTTTACTATTAATATCACAATTTGACCTATGTATAACAGAAAAGGGTGTCATACGAAACAAAAATAACCCCCGAGTCATTACTTTTGCCTATATGTTTTTTTTATTTTTTAATTTCTTTGAGTATTGGGAAAAGAGGTAGTTGTGGGCAGGCCCGTAGACAGGGGGACTTGTAACATTTCCACAACTTGTGGCATCTCCTAAATTTTTTTTTTAAATATTCAATATTTTTTTCAGTGCAAGTAATTCAAATTTTGCAATTGAACTTGATCCAGAAGACAATGATGATGTTGAGATTATTCAAGTGAGTAGTACTAATAATCAAAATAATCAACGTTCACGTTCGCTCAATAACTATTTTGACCCAAATTCTATGGATATTTCTGACAGTACTTCAGTTGCTTCACCATGTATTTATACGCTAGATTAAATTGTTTTTTTGTGTGATTTATAAAGCAAAGAAGCTTTATGGTTAATAATTCGATTTTTTGGTGAAAATTGAAATTTTTTTGGAAATTTTTTTTTGGAAATCTCATGGGTTTTATGATGTTTATTTTCTCTTTTAAAAATCATTTTCTTCCTCGAATCAATATTAAATTTTTTTGTGTTATTTAAACGAATAGTGTATGTCTGTCTTCCATTGTTTTTCATTATTACTATAATGTATTATTTTATTAATTCATATTACGATTAAATTAATTCATTCACTGACTATTTTTTGAAAATATTTGTTGGAGATTACTATAAATATTTAATTTTTTAATTTTAATATTTTTATTTGTAAATACTTAGGAAAATGACTTCTGTTAAATTCGCTCAACGTTTTGTGAACAAAAATCCAAGAAATATGGAGATGTGTAGATTGTTACGAAAACCAGATGGATGGGAGTTTGAGAAGGACAGAATGCGGAAAAATTATATTTACAGGTTTTTTGTTTAAAGATATGGTTTTAGGAAGGGGGAGTATGTGGATGTCTGGTACAAGTTTACAATTAGGTTACCATCCCTATTTTAATTTTTGCTTTGGGCTCTATCCAGAAACTTAAAGCGCCGGACTATGTATCCGTTTTCGTTCGAACTGACTCGGGCCGGGGTTTCCTGACCAAGCGCCCTAAACTGGATTATATCAAAACTTCCGGGTTCTGAACTGGTGGAGAACCTGCTCTTTTTCCGACCTGTCTCTAACTTTAATTGTTCACCCTCCACGAACGATTCCTTTTGATTTTTCCTAAAATTTGAATTTAAGAGTCGACTTCACCGTTACCAAAAATTCCACAACTGCAAGTATTGTGCATTATGAACGTGGCCAAGCAATTATTGAAGCCTCTACAAATGAAAAATCTGTTCGAAACCAACTTTATAGGTTCCTTAATTTATTTTAATTTTATTTCAATTTTATTTTTTAAAGTCCAACAGATGTTTCGGCTGCACAAAATATTGGAAGATTGTTAGCTCATAGATGTGCTATGGCTGGAATTAAATATATTACTTCTGGAATAACTCCTGAGGAATTGGAAGGAAGCAAAAGGGTTGGTTTTTATTTAATTAAAAAAATTTCTTAAATGGCTGTTAAAGAATTTTTAAAAACGTTTGGGTCCGTAACCTTGCGTATTTCTTATTCATGTATTTTTTTTTCTCGTATTAAATTTCAAATCAAATCTTTCCACAATCAGAACTAACATTCTTTTTTCGCTGCTCATACTTGTTGGTATCCCCCGTTCTTTTTACTTTCTGTTCTCTATTTTTCATAATTTTTTCTTTCATTTTTTTTCAAATATTCCTTCCGGATCTTTATTTTTAACTTTATTCAGTTTTTTATTCCTTTAAACGTGTCAAATTTTACATACGTGTTATATACCTATATTTTCTTTTTACATTTAAAAAATTTTTTTAACCCCAATGTTCCTTTCTTTTAAGCGTTCTGCATTCATAAAAGCATTAGAAGAAAGCGGTATTATTTTGTTTGAACCAGAAAGTATTCCACATACACACTTAAACGACCCTCATTTAACTTGGGAACCGTTTCCTTTCAAACATACACGTGATGATAAATTGGATGAATTAGATTTGGAATTAGAACCTGGGAAAGGTGTTTGTTAAAAAAATAAATTTATTTTTGTTTTTTAAAATTTAATTTTAGTTTTGATTAAAATATTTGAAAATTTTAAATTCGAAAAAATTTATTTTCTTTTAAATAGTTTTTTTGAAGTTTTTTTGACCTTTCACCAATTATTTAAGAATATCAAGAATAGAATATCGAGAATAGGCGTGTTGTTTTTGAGGACCTATTCAGATTTCCGGAACAGAACCGAAAAATGCACGGTTCTTCGGTTTGGTTTTCCTAACCGACAACTCTAATCAAGAATATTCTATCTATTAGGGTTGTGCCTCGTCCTCGAAGGTCGCGGAATTTGAAGTTTAGGTAAAATTTTAGTCATTGGGCAAGTATCGAACCTTCAACATTGACTATGTTGTTTTTAGACCTTGCTTTTAATTGTGACTTTAAAATAAATTTATTAAAAAAATATAAATTTACAAAACAAAATTAATAATAATTATCACAAAAATTAAAAATAATAAAATATTTATTTGGTAAATTCTAGTAGTTGCTGCCCTATTCCTTTTTACTTTAGAACCCTCTAATCTTTCAACATCCCAATTAATTTCTTCATCCCAATAATTAATAACTTTTTCATCTTCACTATTTTTCTAAAAAATATTTTTTCTTAAATTTATTTTTAAATTTAAATTTACCTCATTATTTTCAACATTTCTTTGTCTTATAGCCTCTAATAAAAATAATTCTTCATTTTGTCTAACTAAATATTCAACCGTTTTTTGGATTTGTAACATTGTTTTTGTTGCTAAAAATTAAAAATATAATTTTATATTTATTTTATGATGACTTTTTATCTCTTCAAATCGTCTCTGGGATAACTAGAAGATTGAGGTACATTCAGGGATTAGGGAAATAACGGAGGTGCTGGAAATCGGAACTGGCTCAAAATTTGGAAATCATCATAAATTTAAGGACATTCATAAGAAAAGTATGTTGGAAATCAGAATTTCGACTTGCCTCTGTTCACTTCCTTCTTCGCCTCCCCGACTAAAGGGAAAATAGGATAGAAAAATGAATTTATATGTAGATTAGAAGAGATAAGATTATACTTATAGTTAATCTCTCACCATTATTGTTGCCATTAATTGTTGCATTTTCTCTCATCTTAGACTGAACATCTTCAAAATAAAAATTTTCCCCATTCCAACATTTTTCTCCCGGTTTAGCTTGAATTCCTCCCTCTCTACAAATTAAGCGGGGAAAAGAATGCCACAGTCCTCTAATATTTAATAACTAAAAAATTTTTTTTTAATTTCAAAAAAAATTTTTTTTGCCCACCCTATCTTTAAATTGTTCTACAGCAATTTTTGTTCTTCTCGCTTTTAAATTAAAAGTTTTAAAATTGATATAATCCAACTTTTTTGTTCTTCTCTTAACAGAAGAATTAAAATCAGAATAATTACAGTAATCAAAATTATTTTCTTTTCTCTCCCTTTCATTTTCTCTGTCAGTCTCTTCATTTTCCCTTTTCTCTCTCAATGCTAATTTTTCAAAATTTTCTCCATAACAACGAAAAATTATTTGATTAGAAATTATTTCTCCCCTTTCTTGATAGTACATTATAGCATCTGATATTTGTGCTGGTAATGGTCTGAATACGAGGTAGGGGTTGTGGACATGTAAATAACTGCTAATTTCAATGAGGATATCTGAAAAAGAAAATTTTTTGTTTTTTGAAATTTTTTGAAAATTTTTTAAAAAAATTTTTGAAATTTTTCGGAAAATTTTTCGAAATTTTTTTCTGAAATTTTTAAAATTTTTTTGTAATTTTTTTTGAAATTTTCTAGAAATTTTTGAAAATTTTCTGAAAAGACCTATAAGTATCCTCCATTGTCCATCCAATATCAACAATTCATTAATACATTCGTGATATACTTTTTGACACAAACCGGCACAAGGTCGAAAGGATGGATCACCTCCTGTACATATTCCGCAATGCCTTATTTGGATTAGTTGAGGCAAACAACTTTTGGGTGTAGAAAAATTCTAAAAGTATTTTAAGTATTATCCTTGCCTCCTGATCTCTAAGTTATCCTTTCTATCTTATCCTCTATTCTTTTCGAGATATCCTACCCAAAGGGAAATTTTTTGAAATTATACGAGGAAGAATGACTGACCATTTTGTACATAGGGGAAAAAATTGGGCAAGGGGAGGGGGGAGAACGAAATTAGTATCGCTCTACCCTATTCAACGCTGGCTATTCAACCACCTCGTGTTTCTGTTCCAGTCGTTTCTGGATATTCCTAGCTTTTAGTTTTCCCAGTTTGAAGGACATGGGATAGGATAGAAACAGATAGGATAAGATAGGCATTCAATCTCATAAAATATGCCTTTTCCAAAATTTGTAAATGTTGAGATATTTGTTCTAACGCAATAATTGTTGATGACCAAATTCTAAATGCCCTCCCAGTCAATTGTGAAATAGCTTCTGGCCCAGAACCAAAGGGCCGTAAAATTGGGAAAAGCGACATAATACAATTTAAAATTTGTTGTTTTTCTTTATCAATTGAACGCTTAAAATCGAGGAGAAATTTAAATTGAAAAAATTTCCAAACTAAAGGATTTAGAAGAGAAAATTCTGTTAAAAATATCCTTTTAAAAAGTTGTTGTAAAGCCTCAATAAAACAACCATTTCCTTGTTCAAAAACGAGTAAAGAATCATTGACAAATTTATTAAAAATCTGAAATTAAATTTGTAAAGT